CATTATGCCAAACGTTTCATCGAACTTTTCACCATTCCTCGCGTGCGCCGTGCTACTGTGGCCTCATTCGTCGTCATGATTGCCCAACAGATGTGCGGGATCAACATTATCGCGTTCTACTCGACTAGTGTGTTCCGAGATGCAGGTGCTGACGATAACCAAGCTCTGCTGGCATCGATGGGGTTTGGACTGGTTAACTTTGTCTTTGCCTGGCCTGCAATATGGACCATAGACACCTTTGGTCGACGATCTCTGCTACTCTTCACCTTTCCTCAGATGGCATGGACACTGCTTGCAGCAGGTCTGTGTACTTTGATCCCAGGCACAGGCGGAGCTCACATGGCTTTGGTTGCTTTTTTTGTCTATCTCTTCGCGGCCTTTTACTCACCTGGTGAGGGACCTGTGCCTTTCACATACTCGGCTGAAGTGTTTCCACTGTCGCATCGTGAGGTTGGCATGTCGTGGGCTGTGGCAACCTGCCTCTTCTGGGCGGCAGTATTGTCTATTACTTTCCCACTGATGTTGGCTAGATTGCATGCCATTGGTGCTTTTGGCATGTATGCAGGCTTCAACATCGTCGCGTTGGTCATGATATTCTTGCTGCTACCAGAAACAAAACAGCGAACGCTCGAGGAGCTGGACTACATCTTTGCAGTACCCACTCGTGTCTTTATGAGATATCAAGTTACGAAAGTGCTTCCCTGGTGGATTAGACGATGGATCTTGTTCCAGCGAGAAGCAAGACTGGAGCCGCTGTATCAGTTTGACACCGTTGGCGAACCCGAGGATAATCACAGCAGTGACTTTGGCTATGAAAACGACAAGGCAAAAGTTGAGTTGAAGGATACAATTGGACTTACGTCAGGAGTTCAGACGACACGATGAGGTTGACGGTGGAGATTGTGATATCATGACATTTGGCGTTTGCTTATGGGAGACTTGATTGATTTGGAGAGTTTTGTCTGTACTGTACTCTTATGATACCCTGCACGAGAAAGTAGCAAGCGAAATGGAATTGGGCCTTGTCTTTAACTAAAGAGGAGAAATGAGTGCATTAGTTTCTGGCCAAGTGACGTCAGGTGAAGACTAGTTATTGTCTGTAGGATATGTACCTATGTAATGGTCTGCATCGTCTGTGCTATTTACGTCTCTGATCGTTATTCATCCAAACCTGACGCTGAAATTCGCCGAGCTTTTTAGTTCAATGTGAGTGACGTCGTGATAGCGGAAAGTGAAGCGGGCTTCCTCAACTGAACCAGTCTTGGCCCAAGGTGGGAATTCCGTCATTCTCATTCGGGGCCTCGGGAGATGATCACCATCCCCACTTGATCAACATTCGGATGGGTTGGAAAGAGATAAATGCCCAAAAGGCGTTGATGCTCAGTAACAGAGCTTAATTGGGAAGTGAGACGATGACGCCGAGGCCGACACGGGCGTCTACGGTAAATCAACGAGGCACACCGTCTCCCCCTACAAGTTCTCATTCTTTCAAGTTTCAACGTCATGGTGTTTGCGCGCGCTTAGCTCAGTGAGTGACGCACATACTGTGTAGCTTCTCCTCGTTTACGATACCCGACGATACGAACTGGGGGAGTGAGAAGTCTTTGGGCGTTTCTACAGTAGAGCAAGAGCACGGCCAAGCTTTTCCGGGGATGTCTGATCGATCAGATCACGTTGCATTTTCTTGTTGTTGCTGGTTGAAGCGGAGACTGCTGATCGACCTACGTGGATTCCTCGTGAATAATGGGATCGACATTGCGTTGTCGAAGGTGGATGGGCACTGTGGGTGAGGAGTTGACATGAAGGGTCCAGTCATTAGCAACTGTGATAATGATCATTGAAGATGATAATAGCAAAGTGTTATAGCAGCAGTTGAAGTTTAAAGAGTGACAAGAGGAAATGCGGTTGGCGGGATAGTAAGCCAAGCGATGACCCAAACTGTCGGTCCTCTCGAGTTCCAGTTTCGACGTCGTCCCATAGTCCCAACGCCCAGTGTCAGTGTAGGTATGGTTACACTCCATCAGGATATAGCAAAAACACAATCTTGGCACCGGGAGATGAACCGAATTTAATGTCGCCTTGCGAAGAAATAGGGGGACATAATTAATATTAACGTTTCCTGGTCTCGTTTCATATATCCCGCAAACTCTACCATTTCAATCCACGATGAAACCCAAAAAAGAAAAACAATTCATGGTCTCGACTTTTTTGAAATTGAAATTTTGGCTTTGACTTCCATCACAGTGGATGGAGGTCAAGGCGTGGACTAACTAGCGAGCGTTTTTTCCCTTGCCGTCACCCTTATTCTGACACGTTGACACAGGCTAATGCGGGATAGCATGACTTGAGGTCACTTCGTGTCTGCAGGGGTAAATATCATGGTTCGTTTTGTTCGTTCTGAGCCAGTGGCAAGATGAGAGGGGCTTGAAGCAGGAAATAAGTCTTGGTAAGGTGGCTGTGAGCCGAAGATGCATCATGGAGTAGAAGATGAAATGGCCAGAAGGATATATCCATAGGCAGCGTCATAGAAAGCAGCTTCAACATGCTCGCCAATATCAACGTCAGGATCTTTGATCAGAGTACGCAAACTCGGTCTAAAGATACCGACAGCCAAGGGCTGCGGCAGTTGGCGGCTTTCAATTTGAACAACACCCTCATTCTCTGGTGGCGTAGACGCTAGAATTCCCGGGAATGACGAAAAGAAAAAGTGGTTGGTTTCGTCTTGTCTTCAATGTCTTAATTGCGCGTCAATTATCCAAAGGTGTGCTAGTCGGGGATCAACAACACAAAAGGAAACTCAGCCGTTGAAGGCACGATAGGCTAACCGTTAGCCTACGACTTGTTGAGCCGCCATCGACCCTTTGTAAGTCCTCATCGAATAAGAACTTTTCGTAATGATTCTTGCCATGTGCAGCATGCCGAACTCTTTCAACAACATTCGAACCATCACAGATCAGGGAGAACTCGTACCGTGTTTCACTGTGGCAGTTGTTGGCGTCAAAACGTCAGCTCCCGATGTGGGATCCGTGTATATGGACCCATTGAGATCTCTGGTGTAAATCTTTGCCATGAAGGGACGCCTCGAGAGCTTGAAGCTTTCTTGGTGGACAGTGCTGGGTGGAACAAATATGGAGAAGATATGGTTAGATGTTGACTTTTGGTGCCTTGCATCGGTGATTGACTGATCTCTCGTATCGAGAATCGCCTCTAGCCCCCAGTTTTTGCTATGTTTCTTCCCTTACTTGGGTATGTGTGTCTTCTGATCATGGTAAAGATATTCTTCTTACGGTGTAAACGGGTGGCCTGTTGGTGGCCGGGGGTGATTTGAACATGCAAACCGAGACATACACAGACTTTTGATTGTCAAAGCTGTGAAATGTCATGCATTTGCCTGCCAAAATCACGTTCGTATAAGCCCACGTCTCATCCTTGGTTGAATCCTACATATTTCTTGTCATAACTGCACTGTACAGTGCCTATTTCGCGTATGTGTTGAGTTTTCGGCCGCGTAGCACCCCAGCCCGATTTGGAGACGTGAAACAAAGGGGTATCTGAGACCAGCTTGTCAATGGTTGTTTGTGGCTGCCGGGGGGCGGCGCCTCCCCCTGGCCCGGCGTTGAGAACCGCTTCCGTTCTGAAATATTACTGGACAAACGCCGACATTTGGGGGGGCCGGGTGCCCCTGAAGCCCGGCATACAGCCAGATGGAAAAAGTGAAAGAGAAAAAAAACTTGCAGAGGTGCCCAGCGTCTGGGGACCCTGTCGCGGATCCTTTTTCAGCTGGTAGGGCTCATGATCCAGCGAGAGGGGAGAGCCCTGAAGGCCCTAATGATCCAGGACCCAATTGGACTTGGTCCATACCTAGAGAGAATAACTTGAGAGGGTGGTTGGCTATTCGCCATAACTGAAGACGCGCTGTTGGTGGATTCACGGCCCCTAAGTTCTCCAGCAGAGCCATGACCCGCCTGTGAGTGGGAAGAAAAAAAAAACAATCGGGGACCCCTTTTGTTGCTGACGGTATCTGAGTCCCGGCTTGGTATTTCTAGGATTGTGCTTGGATGGCAAGGCGGACAAACCTCAAATAGCAACAAAGCCTGGCCTAGCCTAGTACATAAAAAAAAAAAAAAAAAAAAGGGAAGCACACCATGGTAGTGGATGTCACAGTGTAATTTTTATATATCTCGCACTCACACGAGCTTGAGCAAGAGCCAAGTCCGACAGGGAAGTAACAAGGAACATCCACCCAATCCATGATCCCCGAAACCTCGTTCGTCAATGATTGACTTCAACCTCTCTTTCTAGTCGTTCCCTTTCTCTCTCTTCTTCCTCTTCATCATTTCTCCACCGACTCTCGTTCCAGTCCCTATTATAACCACGGCCCTCCCACCCTGGCCTAGGCTTGCCCTTCTTTTGAAAGCTTCCCATCTTTTGAAAGCTTCCCATCTTTTGTTTGTTTCCTAGCTCCTAGGTTTGATCTCCCTCTCTCTCTTGCTCATTTCACCTCAGGTAGCACCAACAACCATCACCTTATTCCTGTTCGTCTTCGCTGGAGAAGACTGCAGATCACCTTCGCTCTTTGTCCTACCTGAGAAAAAAGAGGAGGAGAAACACATGGGATCGTTGTAGCGTTTTGTCTGCATTTATTTCCTTGAATCTACTACATCATCGGCATACAGCACAGCATTAAGCCGAGCATTGGCATATCTAGCTTGGAGCAAGTCTTCAGCAAAAAGATAATCAACCCCATTCCTACCTGACTCCTAGACACCCTACGAGCGCAAGCAGATCATTGCGGCTAAGGATTTGATATCCTACCACCGTCTCATAACCTGCTAGCACTGCCCGACCTCCAATCTTCAAACGCCTATCGGTTTCATCATCGGCCTCGACTCACGCCAAAGGGTCGATCACCTCTTAAATCGAAGGATTCGGGCCACCACATCGAATACTCCCACACTTTCACTCCCTGGCTGGAGTTTGATATATAACTGCACACGAGAATGGTTAATCGTCACGTTTCTTTGTCTCCCCGCAATTCGCGTCACTCTCACACAGGCTTCGTTCCCCTTGGCGGCACCAACAGCAATAACGAAATGGGCGACGGTATTCAGCTCACCCCGGTCAAGAGCAATGCCTCTGCCCGGAGTGGTATGAGGAAGGCCGAGATGCCTCAACCCTCTACCATGGATAGCAACTCTCCTACCGAGGACGAGAAACTCACCGGTCAAGGTCACCGTGGCCGTCGAAGGAGAATGGGTGATGGCCTCTCTCGCAGCGGTACCGGAGAGGAAACCACATTGAACCCAATGGGTAGACTCTACTACAAAATTATCGGCTTCTCTGTTGTCACCAGATACCTTGTATATGTCGTCCCCGTCGGTCTTCTCTTGGCCATTCCCCTGATTGTCCTCGCCGCCATTGGCAAGAAGGATGGCATCCCTGTCGGCAAATGGAACGGAGATGGTGACAGGTCTGGCGACGATGGCCCTCCGCTCTTCAAAATCTTCCTCTGGGTTCTCATCATGTGGCTCTCATGCTGGATCGCAAAGATTGTTGCTTGGTTCTTACCCTCGCTCTTCATGTTCTTTACTGGCGTCGTCAGCAAGGGTACTCGCAAATACGCAACTGTCCTGGGAAACCTCATCCTCCCCTTCTCCTTCTTCTTCTGGGCCTTGGCTTCTTATGTCACTTTCAAGAACCTCTGGATGGAGGAAGATAGAGGCAAGAACTACGTCCCGTGGGTCCGCACTATGGGCCGTGTCCTTGGTGCTCTTTTCGTTTCTTCAGCTGTCTTCCTCGGTGAAAAAGCGATTGTCCAACTGATCGGCATCTCCTACCATCAGCGATCGTTTGCCAACCGTATCAGGGAGTCTAAGCGTGAGGTTCACTTGCTCGGGCTTCTTTTCGATGCCTCTCGAACCCTCTTCCCTCTCCATTGTCACGAGTTCGCTGATGAGGATGCCATCATCAATGATAGCATTGAGGTGATGCTCCGTGGTAAGAAGGGACACAAGCGCAACGGCTCTGCCACCCCCATGAAGCTCATTGGAGAAGTTGGCAAGATCGGAGACAAGGTTACCTCTGTTTTCGGCAACCTTGCCTCTGAGATCGCCGGCCGACAAGTTTTCAACCCAAACTCTGCTCATTCCATCGTCATCGAAGCTCTTGAGAAGACTAAGTCATCTGAGGCAATGGGTCGACGTATATGGATGTCTTACGTTGTCGAGGGTCACAACTCACTTGTTCTAGATGACTTCCAGGAGGTTCTTGGACCTGCTTACAAGGAAGAGGCTGAGGAATCATTCTATATGATCGACGGTGACGACAATGGTGATATTAGTCTCGATGAGATGGTCCGAAAGGTTGTCGAGATTGGTACGGAGAGAAAGGCCATCGCCGAAGGTATGAAGGATATTGGTCAGGCTCTTCAGGCTTTTGATAAGATTCTTCTCGTCGTCGTCCTGCTGGTCGTCATTTTCGTTTTCCGTAAGTCTCACCTCGAAAGTGTGTTTTGAACTTTACTGACAAGCCCCTCAGTTGCTTTCTTCCAGAGCAGCTTTATTACCACCCTCACCACTGCCGGAACTACCCTGCTTTCTCTGTCTTTCATCTTCGCGGTTACTGCCCAGGAATTCCTCGGTTCTTGTATCTTCCTTTTCGTCAAGCACCCCTACGATGTCGGTGATCGTGTCGACATCAGTGGCACCAGGATGGTTGTCAACAAGATCTCCCTCCTCTACTCTGTATTCCACAGACTGGACACCATGCAAACAGTTCAGGTGCCCAACATTCAGCTCAACAACATCTGGATCGAGAATATATCTCGTAGCAAGGCCATGCACGAAACCGTCGAAGTCAACGTTTCTTTCGATACCTCATTCGAGGACATTGAACTTCTCCGCCTCGAGATGGAGAAGTTTGTTCGACAACCCGAGAACGCTCGTGACTTCCAGCCTGATCTTAGCATTAGCGTTGGCGGTGTCGGTAACCTCGACAAGCTTCTGCTCTATGTCACCATCGCTCACAAGTCCAACTGGCACAACGATTCCGTCCGCGCCAGCCGCCGTTCTAAGTTCATGTGTGCACTTGCCCTGGCTCTGAAGAAGGTGCCTCTCATTGCTCCTGGTGGTGGCGGCGAGCCTCTTGGTGGACCTACAAACCCCTCTTACTCTGTTACTGTTACCGATGAGTTCGCCAAGAACAGCCGTGAGGAGGCTGCTAAGGCTACTGATGAAGCTCGCATGGTCCCAACCTCGAAGCAGGAGAACACCGAGGAGAGCCAGGCCCAGGCCGCCGAAGGCTTCAACTCGCGGCCCCCTGCCGCCGGCCTTGGTGTCTGGGATAATAGTGACAACCACACACTAGGCTCTCATGATGATGAAGTCAACCGCAACCGCGACATCGAGCATTTGCGGACTGATCTCAAGCGTGAGAGCACTCGGGGTCGGCGCAAGGCGGGTGAGGCTATCCCCTCACTTTCTCTCGAGACGGCTCCTCGCGCTAGCATCACGTTGACGCAAGCAAGCCCTCGCAGCCCTCACCGTGGCCCCTTCGATGAAGAGGCTGAGGCTGGCATGGGCCCAACGCCTTACCATTCTAATCTATCCGCCGGCCCATCTCAGGGTTCTCAAGGCTACCAGCCATATGCCGGCTCCAGTAACCAGTATAATGTCGCCCATCCCCTACAAAGGCCTGGTCAGGGACCGCCTCAGGGGCCACCTCCTCAAGGACAACCACCCGCTCCCCAGCGCTAGTGGACCTGGAAGTGAGACATACGAACTGTAACGGCTGATCAGTGTGTATTGAAAGTAGTAATATTGGGGTGGTTATTTGGGACGGAACTGAATTTTTCTATGTTGGTATTCGGTTCACTCGAGAGACTAGAACAGTCATCTCCTTTCTTAGAAATCAGACTGGGTCATCCGTATAAAAAGATTGGTCGTATGTATAGGTTTATGAAACCCAGCCAGGGACTGCAGAGCAGCAGCCCTCAATATTCACGAAGTAAAGAATCTAGATTATTATTACACTTCAATCAAACATTTTGAGGACAATTGTTTCAAGGAACTTTGCGTCTGAGGAGGCTACTAATTTAGCAAACGTGCTCTGGAGGTGGGACATCGCCGTCCTTTGCCCCCAACTCAGTCTTGAGAACACGACCGAAGAGTTCCAGCAGAACCTCGAAGCAGACTTTGGTGATGGCAGGATCATAACGTCCCTTGCTTAGCTCGTCACGGATGAAGGCGTGCTGAGCCCACGCAAACTCATAGAAGCTAGTAGGGACACCAGCCTCGCGAAGCTTGGCACGGATTAGATCGCGACCAGCATCAGGGACATGAGTGTCCTTTACACCGAAGATCATGGCAACCTCTCCCTTGAACTTGTTGAAGAGATCGATGGTGTGGTTGCTGTCGGGAGGAGCGGTCGATGAAGTGTTGGGCGCATCATAGGGACCGAGTGTGCGGGAGTGAATATCCGTTGCGAAGTAGGCCACGCACGCAGAGATGCGAGGGTCAAGCTGTTCCGAGCTGTTGAGTGATATGAAGGGGAAAAGTTAGGTGAAAGACTTACAGCAGCGCGAACGGCCAGATGGCCACCCAGACACATGCCTGTAGCTCCAATGCGGCCTGTACAGGTGGGAAGTGAGAGGAGGTAATCGACGGTGGCATATGAGTCGGCATCATAGGACTCGAGGGTCTATGACAGTTAATTAAAATGAGTTGAAGTAAGCAGTGCTGATTGTCGAGTGAATACCTTTTCGACCTTGAACTTGTTGCCACGATCAGTGTCCTCGGCATCGTACTTGAGGGGCTCAGGGCCGGTGAAGTCATGGTAAGATGAAGGTGCAGCGACAATGTAGCCTTGACCAGCGATCTGACGAGCGAAGCGGGCAACAGGGCCAGTGACTGGAGAAGTAGAGTGAGCTTGCTGTGATGTTGATGTGATTATAATATTAAGACTTACCTTGGTAGATCTCGCTGAAAAGACTCACACCAGGGAAGCGTCTGAATGAAGGTCAGAATGATGCAGCGCATGAGGGCTCAGGAGACTTGCGCATTAGGATATCCAGGAATAGTGGGATGAAAGACAAAGATGCCTGGTCATGAATGTAAGCTTCTTATAAGTTATATCACACATGATGAGAGTTGAGCTGGACATACGCATAGTACCCTCCTTGCCATTGGCAGAGGTAGGGACATCGACGTGAGACTCCTTGATCAACATTTTTGCTTTCCTGAGACCTGATATTTTGAAGGTTCAGATTTGTAATATTGGAGGTTATGGATTGTAGTTGCTTTTATCCATTCAACCTCATATCATTATCAACTTCCCCTCGATGCCCCTCGGCGGGGTGTTACATACATCCTTCGAGCGAGACGCCTCTGATTGGCCGAGAGCAACACCATTCAAGCTTCATAGGTAACTTGATCCGTCCGTTGTGGCACCCGGACCGATCCCGCCAGCAGCCGCTATAGCTAGAACCAGTCTCATGAGTAAGCAGTAGTAAGTTCTTATTAGCAGAACGCAGCCGATGTCATCCATGTCTTGGACACCTACAGTGCGTGTCCTACGGCAGCTGCTGCAGTACAATGTGACCGCTTTTTCGAACACCGAATCACGGGCAGAAATAAACGTGTGGCAGGGGGTATAGCTAATTACCGTAGAGCACCTGCATATAAGGAGTGATAGGGAGGTGCTTCAGTGGGACCTCGACTGCTAATCCGCCTTCGGACCGTCGAATCCTAGGGGAGGAGCAGATAAGTACGTACCTCACAACCCCATCATTCGTCGTCACAAGGATCTTTCCTTGTCTCTGTCCAGGTGGTCACAACTTTTTGGTCGTTCGACTGCTTTAGTTATTTGCCCCAACAACTCTCGATCCTGTTTCTGACTCTTTTCTCCCTCTGTACGAATTAACAAAGGGGACACTTCCTGAAGCATATATTCTCACGATAACATAAGCTCATTATATCGAGGGTCGCCACCCGTACTTTATCCACGGATGCACGCCCCAGCTCTCGAATAAATCACCTCTACCTACATCTACTACGTTTCTCCTTGATATATATCAATCGCATACCATGAACGGCCATTTCTCTGCCGTCGGCGAGGCGCCGGGGGCTGGAAGCTATGAGCATGGCGTCCAGGTTATTGACGAGGATAAGGAGTTCAAGTATGTACTGTACAGCTTTCGAGTTGTTCCCCGCCACTTTGTCCATCATGATGTCCTGACTAACCCTACTACACTACAGCACCCACCTCAATGAGTATCTCAACGTTACCGATGTTGCCGCCTCTGGGTTCAATTACCATCTTATCTCCGTCTTCGGCTCCCAGTCGACCGGAAAGTCGACCCTCCTAAACAACCTCTTCGGCACCGACTTTTCCGTCATGTCGGAAACCGAGCGTCGACAGACCACCAAGGGTATCTGGATGTCCAAGAACAAGCGCGAGACGAGCGCAGGCACAAAGATGTCCGACAACATCCTTGTCATGGATGTTGAGGGTACCGATGGTCGAGAGCGCGGTGAGGACCAGGACTTTGAGCGCAAAAGTGCCCTGTTTGCGCTGGCCACCAGCGAGGTCTTGATCGTCAACATTTGGGAGCACCAAGTTGGTTTGTACCAGGGTGCGAACATGGGACTTCTCAAGACCGTTTTCGAGGTCAACCTGCAGCTGTTCCTCAAGGACAAGCAGTAAGCCGAGCTCTACGGTAGCCCATTGCTTGCGCGATTACTAACTCTACCTAGGTCAACCCCTAGATCTCTACTCTTCTTCGTTATTCGCGATCATCTTGGCACTACACCCTTGGGCAACCTCCGAACCACCCTGATTCAGGACCTGACTAAGATTTGGTCGTCCATCTCCAAGCCTCAGGGGCTTGAGGGTTCGCGCATCGAGGACTACTTCGACTTTGGCTTTGCTGCCCTGCCTCACAAGATCCTTCAGGCGGATAAGTTCACCGAGGAGGTCCAGAAGCTTGGATCGCGGTTTACGGCTGGACATCGACACGGCAAACCTGGTCTGCACGGTGACCAAGAGCTCGAGGGTGGCCTCTTCCTCCCCGAGTACCACCGACGAATTCCTGCCGATGGTTTCTCTGTTTATGCTGAGGGCATCTGGGACCAGATTGTGAACAACAAGGATCTGGATCTGCCTACCCAACAGGAGCTTCTGGCTCAGTTCCGTTGCGACGAGATTTCTCGAGAAGTTCTGATTGATTTCGACGTCGTAGTCACGCCCCTCGAAGAGAAGCAGAGCGAAGCTTCCAAGCTCGGTGTCCCAACCGTTCTGCCCGATCTTGGCCTGGCTGGTAACGATGCTCGCCAGAAGTGCATCAAGGCTTTCGAAGTGCAGGCAAGCCGATACCATAAGGGGGTCTACGCCCGCAAGCGACACGAGCTCGAGGGCAAGATTGATACTCGCCTGAAGGCACTCTACCAGGGCCAATTGGCCGCCGCACACAAAGCCGGTGTCACTGCTTTTGGCGAGGCTGTTGCCAACAAGGTGAAGGCTGGGCAAAAGGCTGGTGGTAGCTACGAATTCGCCGAAATTGTCGCAAACGAAAAGCGGAAGACGCTGGATATCTTTGGTGTTGAGGCTCAGAGCTTACTCATTGAGGGTGTCTCATGGACTAACTTCGAGTCGCAGCTCAAGCTCTTTGAGAAGGAGCTTGACGAAGAGAGCGCTAAACTACGAAAAGAAGAGATGCGACGACTTGCGACCCGTGTCGAGCGCTGGGTCAGATCTCGACTTAGCGATGCCGTCGGTCTCGAGTTCAACAAGTTAGGCAGCGGCCGAGCCGGCGGTGGTGCCCCCGAAACAGGCGAGAAGCCTGACACCGAGAAGGATCTCTGGGACAGAGTATGGAAAGTCTTCACGGGCATTGTCAAGGAAGCCGAGGCTCGATTTGCCGAGCGGGCTAAGAGCTTCGACGCTACTCAGGAAGAGGTTGAGATCGGCACATGGCGATTGCGCCGAAAGAGCTGGAACGCCCTCCGGGAAAAGATCGAGGAAGAGGTTATGGAGGGCAATATTCTGCTGAAACTTCGAGAGAACTTTGAAGATAAGTTCCGATACGACGAGGCTGGTGTACCCAGGATATGGCGTCCCAGTGACGATATTGAGGGTATCTACACCAAGGCGCGAGAGTCTACTCTCACTCTTGTTCCTCTTCTCTCGAGATTCCGGCTGTCGGAGACATATGGCCCTCCTGACTTGCCAGGCTTCGTTGGACCTCAGCCCAACGGTGTCCAGGCTAGTGATGAGGAGGACCTCGCACCGATTGGGGGTATTGACGAAGAGGATGGCAAGAGCCTCGAGGAGGAGATGACGGTGCTCAGCGAGGGCAAGCGCCAGGATCTTGTTGTACGATTCAAGAAGACTGCTGATGGAGTTTATGTCGAAGCTAAACGAGGTGCTATTGGTGGTGTTGCTCAGGTTCCTTGGTACTTTTATGGTTTACTCCTTGCCCTTGGCTGGAATGAGATATTGACTGGTAAGTTTTATCCGGCTATGATCGGCCTTTCTGCTTTGGCTAACAAACGGCGCTTCAGTTCTGCGAAACCCCTTCCTTTGCCTCCTTATCCTGGTCATCGCTGGAGGTACATATGTTGCATACACGCTTAACCTCCTCGGTCCTATGCTCTCAATGGGCAATGCTGCTATGACCCAGGGTGTCGAGATCGCGAAGCAGCAGCTCCGCGACTTTATTGCCAACTCCGATACAGCACGTCAAGCGGTTGGTATGCCTGCACGCGAGGACAGCGATAACATTAGCATGGATACTTTGGATAGTCGGGGCAAGAAGGCCAACACGACTTCTACGGAGAAGGATGACATTGACGACATTTAAGGTATAGGGGGTTGTGTATAAGTCTGAGCAGTGGCGCAAGGCCTTCTCGAGTATGATTAGCGAACAGGATATAATGTCTACTGTAAAAATAAAAGGAGAATATGTTCGATTCACTTGGCGCAAGTGATAACCAAAATTGACTGCTTCAATAAAATCGTTCCCAAGTAGATTATAGGGGTATCTAGAATGCTTCCAAGCCAGCCGACGTACCAAACCAATTACCCAGTTCCGATGAGTCCTTATCCTTGTCCCCCGAGGTGAAATAATCGGTGAGCCTACTCGTCTCACCGTCATCCTCGAGTGGCCACTCAACCTTGACACCATTTCCCTTGGCCTCAAGCATGTCCTTTGCTGTCCCCCAGCTGAACCGACACTCCGGTCCCCATCCGAAAACAGGATGCATGTTGCCCTTCATCCATCCAACGCAGCGTCCGTCAGATGGATATCCTGAGCCCCATGCCATACCCTCGCCATCCTTCTCATCCTCATCTGCCCTCGCTTCAAAGAGAACCTCGAGCGCGGCATCACGAGTGACCTTTGCGCATACTGATGCAGCACTGACGCAGGTGTACAAGCTATCCGCCTTCTTGGCAACCGTAATTTTGGCTGTGGGAAACACGCGCTGCAGCTTTGCTTGATATGCTGCTGGTTGGCCAATTGTATCAACGTAAATCTCCTTGATGTTTACGCCAAGTGCATACACGGCCTTTATAAGATCGACCGTGGCGTCCATAGCTTGTGCATTGAGGTTATACGCATTTGTAGGTCGGTACATGTTCGCGCCGATATCTCTAGCCGACAGCGAGGCCGTTGCCCAGCCACAAGAGTCGTGGAGATCCGAGCCAGGTGTGCAAAGTGTGCGCATAAGGTCTGAGCGAAAAGCAGGTGTGAGGACCTTGGAATCGTCAAAGTGATGCTTCTCACGAAGTAGAGAATCAGAGAGATCTATGGGGAGAAAGAAGACGCCGTAGACCATGGGGCCGAGAACAGGGCCACGTCCGGCTTCGTCGACACCGAGACAACATGGAGTTGCTGAGGAGGGATCAGAAGGGTCGCTGGGAAGTAGAGAGGAGGGAACGGGGGAGAAGTGGTTGAATGATGAGCCTGAGAGAAGGGCTTCACGATGGACTGAGGGTGGGATATAAGTTGTCGAGGAGCGGGCGACTGTCTCGGGGACGTCTTCGGCTGGTGAATCCGTCATTATGAGATATTTTAAGGATGGTGAAAGGTTGAGTTTATTATGCTGCAGGTTGAGTTTTTGGCAACAGACTTGTCAATTGATCGTTTTGACGACTCTGGTTGTCATGGAAGTTGAAATAAAGAGAAAGTTGGTGGTGAGGGTCCAAGGAGACGCGTCTAGACGCGTTAAGCACCCAAGCCCCATATTTTATATAGTGGCCATGGAGCTAGCTATACCAATAAGCACTTGACTACGGAGTACGACAACCGGCCTAAAGGCAGGTATGGCAAGCTCCATATTGTAAGTCATGGGAGATATACGATTGGCTTGGCCTAATTCGAGTGGTAAAGTTGTTTTTGATTTTCTTGGAGTCATTTTATCTGATATTGCTGTTGATGCCCGTTGAAAGCAAGTAAACAAGCCACTGCAGGCATGTACTCACTTCCACGACGCCACTCTAAGTAAAGCCACATGCAGCGGCAAACTGAACGTATCAAGTCAACCACCTCAAAGATGAACACAACAGATTGATCGAGCTCTTGACGAAGTATAGATCAACAAAAAGTGAATAATTTATCTGCAGCAAAGCTCTTCTCTCATTATGAACACGCATACAGTTAAAGGACCGAGCAGTTTATGACCCATCGTGCAAAAGGATACCTATGTAAGCCCACTGTGCTCATGTAAGATTTCACTGGTCAAATCAACTGTGACCCTCTAACACCCCCCCAGCTACACGGGGACCACACGATTCCAATTACTTGGGCGCGCCGCTTAAAAGTCACCACCAAACAACATTCACAACCGCGTCACCACCAGTCGCGTCCTTGTTTCCAATTCTCATTGTATCGCACCCATACATTTTGACGCCGCGATAATATATTCTTTCTCACGAAAAGAAGAAGACGCAGCATACATTTAGGTGGAAAATAAACAAAATGGCACCTCGAGGCGCAAGGCGCAGCGAAGTTGCTGAACCGCAGGCTATTTACAAGCTCGGCGAGCGTGGTCGGTGAGTTGATATTGCGCGCTTGAAGCGCAAGATTCTATCTTTGCCTATATTTATGCAGGGTCTAATTGTCTCTGTAGCAAAACTGGCGTCGAGTTGATAGACACGGGTAATCGCGATGAATATGGCATGCAACCTTTGGACGACCTTCTTTCTTCTCCGCTAGAAAAAGAAACCGAATCTGACCAAAGGTACGATGACGAGGATGAAGCGCCAAGGAACGACCAATACGAGAGCGACGACGAGGAGGACGAAGCTGGCAGTGAAGATATGGATATTGAAACAAGTGCGATCGCAAATGCCTACACCATATGATGCATTAACTGACGCCATTCTAGTTCCTGGGCCGGGACCTCAGACTGTGCTTAGGGAAAATAGGCAGTATCCCATCCCTCGAAGTCGATCGCCCGTGAAGACTACATTAATGTCTTCCCCTCGACGAAATCCGAATCTCGAACATCTCTCCTCGCCCACGCGCCCACCCTTTTCCAACGATCGCGACGCTACTGTGACCCGGAAAATCGATTTTGGAGCAAAGCCCTCTTTGCGCGGGCAAGCTACAGCGAATGGAGTCAATGGCGGCACTCACGACGAAGAGGACGCCGATGAAACGGAAGATGCGCCAGAAGCCAGTGAAGCGGGCGACGTTGGGGATGACATGGACCTTCTCGATAAATCTCTTGAATTGGTTGACGACCTGACTAGACACTCTTCAGAGCACGAGTCGGAGCCGGAGCCTGTCAAGACCAACAAAGCATCAGCCAAAGACAAGTCACAACGTGCAGAACCAGAACCCAAAAAGCCAGGGAAACGAGGAAGGCCAGCGAAGGCCAAACCAGTAGAAGAAGAGCCCGTCGGGGAGGAGCCTGTTGAAGAGGAGCCCCAAGAGATCCAGGAGCCAGGCAAGGGCCGAAGGGGACGGAAACCGAAGCCTGCTGTTCAACCTAAGAAGTCAGCTGCTCCCGAATCACGGAAACGACCAGCGCCAGAGGAACCAGAAGAAGCTGAGGAGCATGAAGAGTCGGACAAAGAAGCCTCAGATCCCGAGCCTGAACCTGAAGAGTCCCCCAGACAGGCCAAGAGACCAAGAAATGAAGCCTCGAAACCCTCAAAACCAGCCAAGTCGGCGCCAGCAGCCGAGCCAAAACCTAGGGGAAGACCTGGGCGAAAACCGAAACCACAGACCACAGGTGATGTTGGAGATACATCAATTGCAGCAATTCAACATAGACCTCCAATGCCGAAGAAGCGAGGCCTGGTATCTGTTCGTCATAACCCCGACGAATTTAAGACGACAAGATCTGGGAGACACTCATTCAAACCCCTAAATTGGTGGGCAGGCGACAAGGTGGTTCAAGAGGAAGAGGAATTCAAGGACGTCTCCGGCCGTGACCGCTTTGTGTTGTCGACCATCAAAGAAATCATCCGCGCACCTCAAGAAGAGCCGCCTGCAAAGCCTAGGACAAAAGCTCGTGGAAGGCCGAAATCCAAGGCTGTGCGGGAAGTTGAAGTGGTTGAGCCTGAAGAGTGGGAGCTGAATCCTGGTGTTGTCAACGCTGAGGTCATCTTGTGGGAGCCTGAGCACGAGACGAATCCTCCTGGAGACGAAGAACCAGTCGAGGTTATGGAGGATCGCGTTGCCATATCGGGGGAAGCTATTCAGACTCGTGTTGTTCAAAATGTGTCTTTCCGCATGGCCAAGACACTCACAACCCCTTTCATGGGTGCTGGTGTTGTTGATCTACCTGCTGGCTCTGAAAAGAGGCCAAAGAACTCGCGAAAGATGCACATGGTCTTCTTTGTACATACTGGAAAGGTGCTCGTCACTGTGAACGAGGCTTCATTCCGACTCAGCGCTGGAGGCATGTGGTTTGTTCCCAGAGGTGTGTCAACTTGCTCCCCTTTTTTCTCAACAGCTGAGTGACTAACCGTGAATTAGGAAACTACTACAGCATAACAAACGACTACGATACAGATTCTCGCATATTCTTCACTCAAGGATGTGAAATATCAGCTCAACCAGCGGAACCCGATCAATCACAAATGTCCATGATGGCTTAGGGCTAATTAATATAGAGAAGGCCGTGGGATGTCAGTGGTGAACTATTGTCGCTTTATTTCACCATGATAAAACAAAGTTGACGAGTGTACTTTTTTTTAAGCAACTGTTTACTTGTGAGCATCCCTGGAAGTAAAAGCATGAATACGGAGGTTCATTATGTCGTATTTGCCTTGGAGGAGACGCCCGTTGACCGGCTTCATGATTTATGTTCGATTAAGGGCTTGTTTAGTTGTATACCATTCATGACAGATGAAATCTCAATTTTACTGCAAGATTCTTACAACCATACCCGAAACGCAATACCACTGCTGCGCTATTATGAGATGATAAGTATTGTTCATGAGCACCTTGCCGGGTCTTAGAAAATTCTAGTAGACTTAAATAAATCTCAGATATTCCTATTCTGATACAGTATGGCAATAGTTAGAGAGGAGTCGTTACAAATCGAAATAACCCTTCCCAAGCATATGCAACTCATGATCAAAACTCCTCGCTAAGAAGCTTCTTCAAAGTGGTCATTTCTTTATCCCATTTAGTGATCTTGGCTTGGCTGTCTTCCAATTTGCGGAGCAAGAAGTTGATACGTCCTGCTGTCTCTGCTGTCTGGCGAGGCAAGCTGCCCAGAAGAGATAACTCGTTTTCAACCTTCTCAATTGAGCGAGCTTCGGCCTTGGATGAGTCGTTGAGCACATCATAGTCCATCTTTGCTCTAAGGACACGGTCCTGTAGAAGGACCGAAAATGCAGCTTGGTGCAGAGGCTTGCTAGCTGTGATTGTCATGGGTCGGCCTTGGTGCGTCTTAACCGCGATGAGCTCGGCACTGACGAGGCTATCAATGGCGGCATCAGCATTTGAGGCAGCCGCGGGTGCTGCGGAGGAGAATGGCGCAGAGAGTGTAACTTCGTTATAACGTAGATTGGGGGTTTGAGCAAGCGACTTGATAAGATGCCAAGCCTGTTGAGAAGAGAATTTCTTGTCCTCGATCTCTGAGGCCTTGCCAAGAAGGTAGATACGAACAATGTCGGTAGCTGTCTCGGAAACGATCTCTTCCATAGCTTGTTTGGGAGATTGCCCAGTTCGTAGGCGCCGGGCGAGGAACTCCAGATCTGTGAGACGGCCACCAAGAGTGTCGATACATTGGTCAAGCTCAAACATGTTTGGGCGTGGAATAGGTGATTTTTCAGTTTCTTCATCCCCTTGCTCCTTTCGTGCTTTCTCGTCAGCGGCGAGTTGATCCTTGAGTCGGCTAAGAACAAAGTTCTTTGCTACCTCGGGCGCCAAATCACCAAGCGAAACAGTACGGAAGAGTCGGTCGGGCAGTGCTTTATCCAGAGGCTTTGAGTAGGCCGAGTCGGTGGTAAGGAAGATAACATGTGCGACGTTGTTCTGCACGACAGTCGCTGCCCACTCAGCTATCTTGTCGTAGATGATGCTGTTTTCCTCGCCCTTGTGGAGGAAGTTATCGATAACGACAACAGGTCTACGCTCAGGATGAGCTTCCAGCCAAGCGTCCTCAGACAGCCTGTAGTCGCTATCTTTCTTGTTACGAGAGCCAACGGCAACATCTTTAAGGGCGCCGGTAGTGGTTTGCATGATCTTGGTCAACTGAGACTCGAGAGTTTCCGAGAAGCCAGCCTTGACTCCCGTTGTGCTCTGAACAGCAAGATCGATCATACTGCTCATACTATTGGCCCATGAGAATACAGGACGATAGCCAACGGCTGTAGCCAGACGTTTGATAGTGCCCGCCTCACCCCTGGCCTCTACAATTCGTCTGCAGTCGATCTTGAGCACGTTCTTTCGACCTTCCAAAGCTTGATCCATGACCATCTCAACCTTTCCTGAACCCTTGGGTCCAGTAACAACGATGAAAGTGTCAGATGTTTCATCAAGCCAGCCTTGCACTTTGTCAATTGCATCTCGTCGGTGATTCCAGACTTCCTCAAGGCCATCTCCTCCCTTGGGTTTGGTTGATAAGCCAAAGTTGCCAGACTGTTTCTTGAACCATTTGTAAATTCGAGAATCTTTAAACTCTAGAGAATGCTGAATATGAAGCTTGATGAAGAATTCCCGAATAGGGTCGAAAATCAGAACCGAAAGACCAGCTACGAGGGCAGCAAAGACGGGTATCACAATACGTGGATGGTTTGTCAGCCAATTCCAAATACTATGAGCCTTGACGCGTTTCTCGAAGGACAGGCGAAGCTTAGTTCCGTTCTTGCCACCTCCCAAGACCTCGTTGACAATGAATCCATGCATGCAGTTGCGAGCCATAATTGCGTCTCTTGTTACAGGAAACATGACATGGGCATATCGTGGCGTGACCTTTGAGTCGTTTGGCTGTGGTATAATATCTGCGATTTTTCCATATTTGCGGAATAAAGAGTACAGCGTCTCTTCGGGAAGCTCTTCAGGGGTGGTACCAGGAGTTGGAGGAACAAATTCGATTTTGATGAAGCTTGTAGGATATCTGTACAGGTCTTCTAACCATGGCGTGCCCTGTACGAGACGGGCGTTGACAGGACGGAAGATGGAGAACCAAGGTTTTAAGGGCTTCTCTTTCAGTCGAGTTGCTAATTGAGCTGATAGATGAACTGAGTAAGTATATGCGTTGGTGAATCCTAATAGGGCAAAATATACCTTCAATTTCCGCAGGGTCTATGTTGGAGTCATGCATGAATTTGACATATGCACCTCCATCCTTGAGCCGTGGTAAGATCTCGGTCACCTTTATCGGTAGGTCTTCTGGAATAGCTGTCTTCACAAGGCGAATTGGGTCGAGAATGCCTAAGGAGGAAGATTCAAATCGCCTGAGTAAATCCGATACGTCGTTGTCCGACTTCCAAGGACGCATGAGAACGCTGCTGAGTTTGAGAGGAAAGATATCTGAGTTCCATGTCAGGTGACAAGCAGGCGATGGTTCGTTTATGGGGAGACTCACTATCGAAAAAGAGAATGGCTTCGTTGGATTGTGTAGTGATATGACCACTCTTGTCAGCACCTTCTTCGGGTGCAATTGGGGGAACCGCCTCCTCGGGGTTGATGATGGTGCTCTCCCACACGCGACTAACAGGTCGGTTTATCGCATTTTGGCCGAGCCGTTGTCGAAGAGAAGCTGCTGCGAAGCCACACCCGAGGGATCTCGATGATATGAGGGGCCGGCGGGCTGCGAAAAGTGCCGCCGTCGCAAGACCTCGGCTTGGAATCATGATGCTTCGATCCCAACAGCGCGCATACTGCAACAGGTCAGGTTAGAAGAATGGGAGGATCCTCAAGTTCGTGAAGAGATCAAGTTTGTTGATTAGGGTAGAGAATTGTTGGCAGGAAGGGCTAGCTTGGAGCTGTCGCATTGCAGCTAGCTTCCTCCAATGAGGTCATAAGCTGAGAATGGCAGTTGAGTCTCGACTCGACCTGGACTGCCTTGAGATAAAGAGCTACTATGAAGCACGTTTATATGTCTAACAATAATATTATTCCCTTGAGGCTTAATCTAACACTTAACTACCTACCTAGGTATGCTACTATGATGGAAGTCATAATATACATATACCTCAAAATAAGTATTTGTTTCCTCTTTGGCCAGTCGCTGATATGCCTACCCATGTGAAGATCAACCCCACCAAGCAATTTATGATCCGATCCATGATGTAGAGATCACGATGATGCTTCAATTACCTCACAAAACTCGCTAATAGATAACCCTATTTAATGATTAACATGCCCAGAAAGGCTAATATAATTACTGTTTAGAGCTTCTTATTCGTAGTAGTCTTTGTTAGTCTCCCATCAGAGTACAGCAGACAGCTATGTTGAGAAATGAAGCCCGGTTATCAGGGCAGACATCAAACCCTTCACACTTACATATGTTAGATCACAGTATAATAATATTTGGGCCCGAAAATCCATATGCTACGGCCTAGAATAGCACATTGATTCTTTTTATAGAAGAATTACGATATGATAACTCCGAAGTCCCTTTGAGCAGATCTCGTCGGGGATACGGCAGATCTATTTTTCCTCGACATCCCTCCCAGCGTCGCATTTCATCACCTAAAACTCCAATATCCAGAACAATCTGCGCTCCACTAAGACTCAGGTCAGATTATATCATTCAACAACTTCAATTGGACAGTCGGTTCTTTATCAATCAAGATTCAGGCTTCAACCGCGCCACTCCCCTTGCGACATCAATATTTTCCTTCAATCTCCACGAAACTCTAAGCTTTTTCGCATCAACCATCACGAGACTCAAGCGAGATATTCAATTGAATCCGCGACCACTTATAAAACGTCGCAATGGGTTGGCTATGGTCTTCTACACCTCCTAGTGAGGGCAAGTCAGCTGCGCCAGTTAAAGAGACCTCTCCTGTCGCATCACCAACAACCGCAATCACATCCACAACTTCGGATCCTTCAACAACAGCCCCATCCAATTCCAATACCGATCCCGAAATCCAAAAGTTCATCGATCTCTTTGAAGCTGAGAAGAACGCAAAACCCTCCACAACAGAAGACCAACAACAACAAAACTCCTCTTCCAAACTACCATCATGGCTCACTCTCAAGAAATCCACACGCTCATCCACCCCTACACCCGCCGATATTCCTCCCCGCGACGCCCTCTCTGAAGCCCTGCTCCCAACAGACATGTCCTGTCGTCAGGCCTTCGACCAAGCATGGGCATGCAACTCGATGGGTGGACAGTTCAATGCCGTGTATCGCTACGGTGAGATGAGATCATGCAGCGAGCATTGGGATGACTTCTGGTTCTGCATGCGTACCAAGAGCTACTCTCCTGAGATGCGGGAGAAGGCCATCAGGGATTATTATCGTGCGAAGGAGTTCACAAAGTATGGCCCTGGGAAACCGAGTAGTGAAGATGTCTGGGAGAGCAGAGAGGACAAAGTACCAGAAGGGACAGTATTTAATGAGCCTGTTGAGCCACGAAAGTGATCAACTTACTCTTGTATTAATGGAGAATTCCAATTTCGTAACCAAGTTCTGTAATCATTCTCTGCTGGCAAAGATTGCTCCCCTTTCCTAAGAGTATGTGGTCCGATTCTTGCGGGCCATTCAAAGGTTTCTCCACGGCGCGGTGATAACACATAAATTAGATATCTGAAGCAAGATAATGGATCCCCCTGTAGAGATACGAGCTTTGGGTCCTCCTTGAACATATTTATGTGAGCTCAGCCTCAGGGAGCAAGAAGACATCGGACCTTGATATAGACTGTTGAAATAAACTTAGCAAAGAAGTCCTCTAAACTTAGACTAGATTTACCTAAACACTTTTCTCGCTTAGGTTCGAGGTCTTGGGTTTTCTTTCCTCCCCTACCAGGCATCACCTTGACCATACCCTCAGGGAGCAAGAAAATACAAGACCTAAATTTAGGATAATAAAATGAACTCCATAAAAGATATCCTAAACTTATCCTAAATTTATACTAAGCTACTTAAGTCTTTTATCTCTTAGGCTTAAGATCCTGAATTTTGTTTCCTCCCCTACTACACCTCCATGAAGATGTTGTGTGACAAGCCTAAAAGCCTCTGAGAGCCGGGATTAGTAGGCGCTGCATCAATCGCAACTTACGAGAAAGACATGTCACAAAAGGGAAGAGGCAAAGTAGTAGTTATTGTGAATATCTTGATTCATCGATTCATTAAAATACATTGGGTAAAAACCACCGAGCTTTTCATAACCGTGAAAGTCGCAAAAACAAAACAGAAAATCTAATCTCATCATATCATCCCATGAAACCCCTAGCCTCCGCATTGTACCATTGGACGCATGACAACTCTAGAAGTCGAGACTGATATTGTTGGGGTATCAAAGAATTTAGTCGACCTCCTCGACGGTGGGACCATCGTCACCACCGGCACCGGGAGCACCACCAGGGCCGCCAGCACCAGGGAAGCCGCCGGGACCACCGGGCATGCCACCAGGAGCACCCTCACCACCAGCTCCGTAGAACTTCATCATGATGGGGTTGGCCTTGCCCTCGAGCTCCTTCTGGTGCTCCTCGTACTCCTCACGAGTAGCCTGCTGGTTGTCATCAAGCCACTGAACGACCTTGTCGATCTCGGCAGTGAGGGTCTCCTTGTCGCTAGCCTCGATCTTCTCCTCGACCTTGGGGTCGGAGAGGGTGTTGCGAAGAGAGTACGCGTACGACTCCAATCCATTCTTGGCAGCGACACGCTTGCCCTCAGCCTCATCCTCCTCCTTGTACTTCTCAGCGTCGTTAAGCATGCGCTCGATCTCCTCCTTGGACAGGCGGCCCTTGTCATTGGTAATGACAATCTTGTTGGACTTGCCAGTGCCCTTCTCGACAGCGGAGACGTTCATGATACCGTTGGCATCAAGATCGAAGGTGACCTCAATCTGGGGAACACCACGGGGGGCAGGGGGGATACCAGTGAGCTCGAACTTGCCCATCAGGTTGTTGTCCTTGGTGCGTTGACGCTCACCCTCGTAGACCTGGATAAGAACACCAGGCTGGTTGTCGGAGAAGGTGGAGAAGACCTCGGACTTCTTGGTGGGGATAGTGGTGTTGCGGGGGATAAGCTTGGTCATCATACCACCAGCGGTCTCGATACCGAGAGAGAGGGGAGCGACATCGAGAAGCAGGATCTCGTTGGTGGCCTTGCTGGAGGTGTCACCGGAGAGAATGGCGGCCTGGACGGCGGCACCGTAGGCAACAGCCTCATCGGGGTTGATGGACTTGTTGGGCTCCTTTCCGTTGAAGTAGTCGGTGATGAGCTTCTGGACACGGGGGATACGGGTAGAGCCACCGACGAGGACAATCTCGTGGACAAGGGACTTGTCGATCTTGGCGTCGGTAAGGACACGGTCGACGGGCTGGATGGTGGATCGGAAGAGATCCTGGCAAAGCTCCTCGAAACGAGCACGGGTGATAGAGGTGTAGAAGTCAATACCCTCGAAGAGAGAGTCGATCTCAATGGAGGTCTGAGCAGAAGAAGAAAGGGTTCGCTTGGCACGCTCGCAAGCGGTTCGGAGACGTCGCAGAGCGCGGACGTTAGTGCTCAGGTCCTTTTTATGCTTGCGCTTGAACTCGTTTACGAAGTGGTTGACCAGACGGTTGTCGAAGTCCTCACCACCCAAGTGAGTGTCACCAGCAGTAGACTTGACCTCGAAGATACCCTCCTCAATTGTAAGGAGAGACACATCGAAAGTACCACCACCAAGATCGAAGATCAGGACGTTGCGCTCGCCCTCAACCTTCTTGTCAAGACCGTAGGCAATGGCGGCAGCAGTAGGCTCGTTGATGATTCGGAGAACGTTGAGACCGGCGATGAGACCAGCATCCTTGGTGGCTTGACGCTGAGAATCGTTGAAGTAGGCAGGGACAGTAACAACGGCGTTGTTGACAGTCTCGCCGAGGTAAGACTCAGCGGTCTCACGCATCTTGGTAAGGATCATAGCAGAGATCTCCTCGGGGGTGAAGGTCTTGGTCTCGCCCTTGAACTCGACCTCGATGTTGGGCTTGCCACCCTTGTCGACGATCTTGAAGGGGAAGTGCTTCATATCGGCCTGAACCTCAGGGTCGGCGAACTTGCGACCGATCAATCGCTTGGCGTCGAAGACAGTGTTCTGAGGGTTCATAGCGACTTGGTTCTTGGCGGCATCACCAATCAGACGCTCGGTGTCGGTGAAACCGACGAATGAGGGAGTAGTTCGGTTACCCTGGTCGTTGGCGATGATATCACATCTGGGGTAAAGAGTTAGTGTCATGCTCCTAATGCAACTCATAATGGCTTTTTAGGTGAAAAACTTACCGGTCCTCACGGAAGATACCCACGCAAGAGTACGTGGTACCCAAATCGATACCGACGGCGGGAGCCATTTTGTGTGATGTGTGTGGTGTTGTGTGTAGAATGCGTGAAGATTATGTCGTAGGGTAGGAAGAAAAAGAAAAAGAAAAATCGCAGTTGCTTCAATGGAGTATCGTGGTTATTTGAAGACTTTTGAGAGGGTATTTGAGTGTGATGATGTTGTGAGAAAGAAAGACGGAACAGAGCGAGTTGAGCAAAAGGATCTAAATAAAGGCGGGTGCCAAGGTTCGATGCGGTTCTGCGCTGTTCCAAAGGAGCCCACTTTGGAGAGCTTCTCTGGTGTTGCAGGGGGGTCTACCACTTTCTGGGCGCTGCTAGGTGTTGCTGGGGGGCGTGCTTTGGAGGGGCGAGGGGTCTGAAGAAGCGTCTAGCAGCTGCGTGCACCTGGCAGACAGGCAGATCTGGGTTCGCCCCACTAAAAAAACTGCGTCTCCCAAACGATGCGCAACCTGAGATGGATCTTTGATTGCTTCTGACTGATTCCTGATGAGGTATCAAGACACAAGAGCTCATCGTGTTTATTCCCGTAGCTTCCGTCTATTCTCGCTATATCTCACAGCTTCTCCTTGTACCCCATGTCCTGTGCCTGATTGTCCTGTGCTCTCATCTTACTGATGTCATGTCCTCATAAACTTTTTGCTTCCCAAATCTTCCAGCGCGGGGCATCCGGGCAAGGATTAGAGCTTGATGTTCTGACTACATCTCTTGTAGTGCAGATATCACCTAAACATATGTCCTGACTACCTTACCTAGGTACTTTGCCCCACCAATCGACCTCATGTTGGACGGGTAGCTCCCCTCTTCGTGCCCCTCCTCAGACGGCGCTCCCTCATCTTCTGTCGCTCTTCTCTCCCTGGGGTTTAGCACTGCGAAAACTCTAGGTTGCCGCTTCATCATGGAGCGTCATAACGGAATCTGGATAATTTTGTGGCAATCACTGGGAAAATTCTGATAATCGAGGCTTTGGCAAAGTCGGTTTATTGAGATTTGCTCCGAGAGAGTCAAGAATGCGCCTGTCTGTCCAACCAGAGACAGGTCAGGTCTTTTGATGCCTTGTCATGGTATCCAACAGCGGATGTCCATGTGTTGGCTACCGCTACTTGAGTCAGCTCCACTGATTGGATTGCACAGCGTGTATTCGCAATGCAGCAGGCCTGTTTTCCTGCTTGGTGATGCTTCAATAGTGTGGTCCACGTATCTACAGTAGTATTCATACATTATTTTATCACCATGTCATGGCCATTAATTGAATCTCACGGCGTCTTTCAGTCAGATGCCTGCCTCCCGAGCCTGTATAGTGACCAATGCTTACTGCGGGATTCATCATCACCGACAACCCTGCCTGTACAGTATCTCGATCGTGAACTAGTCTATCAGGCTGAAATCGATGACCTTGTTGGTACCAACAAGCCAACATTGAAGCTCAATTGTTCGCCGTATGTCGATAACCGGCATGAAAGCATACGATCTTTACGCAGTTGACCCCATTATTTTTTCTCCATGTGGATCCAAATCTCCAAACCCTTCCTTTGTTGTCTTTCCTTTCCGTTGCCTCCATCTTTTCAGCAAAGCAAACTGACTTCGTCTTCCTAGCGCTTCCACGGCCCTCTGTGCATCCACTTGGGCTCGTGAGACCCCAGGGCTGAGGCGTGGCGTAGGATTTCGAGGGCCCCTCTGCCCAGTCAGCTTTTTATCTACCTTAGGCATGCTGGTTGTCAGGCAACCGGCAGAACCCCTGAGGCCCATTTCAAGTTATTGCATGTGTAATCAGTCTCGTCGTTGGGCTTTGGGTTTCACAGCGGCAGCCTCATCAAGGCACCAGCTGTACCTAAGCTGTAAGGTACAGCTAGTAGACAGGTAGCTCAGAGCACAACAGCTCATCCTGGCAGGGCAATCGTGGTTCCAATTGTTGTTTACACTCGCCTCATTTCATTATCTTCTTTATTCTTCTGCCTTCTCTAAAACTACTGTATGGGTCAGTTGCCTCTCGGCTTCTGTTCTCGCTTGGAGGCGACCCCAAACAATTGGATCGTATGTGGGGTTGCATCCAATGTCGTGATTAGTTAGCTCCATCTGGAAACGGCTTGTCTATGTGCTTGATTAGCTGGCTGGCTTGGGGAGCTAGAGGGGGGTCAGAAAACTTAAGGCATTTATGCCAAGTGATGAAAAGACTTAGGCATTTTAGTCTAATTTTAGGGGAGTCTTTACTGACTTTATTTTAGTGACCTCTTCTAAAGTCTGTGTTTTCTTGTTCCATGAGGTCTGGATCCTCGCTTCTGACCTGCATTTACCCTAGAGTTTTTGACACCTGATTTTGAGGCACTTGGACAGCACTATGATGAAAGATTTAGGTCTGCTGGATTCCCTGTGATAGATCGAGATGGGACAGATAGACTTTTGAATTGTTGTTGTAGTATTAGTGATGACTCTTTCCGCATGTGCTTCTTCAGGCTGCGATTATCGCCCGATGTTCGACATGACGTCTCAACCGTGATACTATTAGATAGGTACATGTTTTCGTCGAGTCCATCACTCAACGTCAAAGAACAGCAGGACTGAACATAATAGGGATGTAAGCTCAAGGTATTTGCTAAAAGTTAACTTGACATGGTAAACTGCCATCGAGCTCTTGATCCGCTCCACCACAAGTAACCCACATATTGAAACAGTAAAGGCAGATGCAATGCAACTGTTATAAGTCTCTAAAGATCTATTCTAAATATAACTACCTACCTACACCATCCCCACACGTCAAGATCCATCTAAAACACATAGTCTTCCCGTCCCCTGTCAGTAATTGCTAGGTAAGGACATCCAATGGGGGTAGAGCTCATGTAAGACTGCCTATAGACTGAGGTATCTACGTGGTTCTTCTCGCCTATTCACTTCGCTTATAATCAAGACCAGGCTACTACTGCCTTGCAATGAACCCCGGTAGATCGTGTTCTTCGATCATAAGCATTGACTTGTCCGCCATCCTCGAACTCGTCTCGGTTGCCGATCCACCCAAGAAGCCATTCCATATCTTCTGCATCACGTTATCTGTGCTCAACAACTTACTTCCTTTCAAAGCCTCCTCATCCTTTTCACCCACTACCAGCAGGACCTTCTTTGCAGCCGGAAAGCCATCGACAACGTGCCACAAGCATCCAAAAACCTGATCACTTTCCTGCTCCGCGTAGCCGAGCTCCGAGAGTACGCAGGCGAGATGCTTGACCCTGCGGGTGTCCTCCCGTCGTAAGAAATACACCATTGCCGAGTTGAAACCGTAGATGTCATACGCCTCTAGTTCACCTGCTAGATATACAGCGTCAAGGTCGAAATTGAACCACACGCGCGGTGGTTCAGATACGGGCGTATCTGAGAGGAGCTTGGATATACGCCAGCCAAAGGCAAGCTCATAATGTTGCAAGGCTAGATATCGCGCCTCGCGGTTGATGTGCAATAATACAGGCACCGATCTTCCGTGCGACCGCTGATTTAGCTCATCAAGTCTTTGATCAAGCCGTTCGTCGCGCTGAAGACAGCAGACGACGGTGATGCGGGGTTGAATGAGGCACGACCATATTCGTAGACGCAGCTCAGGCGGTAGTTGTGCGAATTGAGGAAATTCGGTGAGAGTGGACGGCGAGTTGACTTGTGATGAGAGACCATCGTCAAAAGTGCGAAACTCGAGCCAAAACGTTGGATTCGGGCTTTGCTCTTCCTCGGTACTGATATCGCTCATGTTTATTATTGGTTACGATGGGTGTCGGTCAATTGGTTGACAGAGGTGGGCTATACGATACGATATGAGCTGATCATAGAGGATCCAAAAGAATGACAAAGCGAATGATCTATGATGGTCAGTGGGGTGAAGAGAAATGAAGAAAAGAGAGTGTTTCCCTGCATGGAATATTCCTAGATTCAAGGTCAGGCGATTATCTCCGCCAACTTCCACTATCTATCAGCGAATCACTGTTTGGTTTCAAATTGGATCCAGATACGCGCAAGCCGTTGGTGATTTGCGGATATAAACATTCATCTTTGTCCCTCGGTAATTTCAAAGAAGTTTGATTCTGGTACTCATTGATTCACATGGCTCTTCGAAAATCATCATCTTATACAATTTCGATTTATTCGGTTATCTCCTTGCCGAGAGTGATGCCGCTCGGGAACCTCACTTACCCCTTCACCAGCAGCTGGGGTAAAGAATCATAGTTTAGAGAAATCCGAGATACACTTCTATATTCACGGACTAGATAGAATTAATCTGGTAATTTAGTAGCATGAATCATGTTCTGGAATTGTTCGCAAATACGACAGTGATGGCCCAAGACACTCAGAGGCATGCTCCAGAATGAGGATGATCGAGTCTAATCCAGTTCTATATTCGCTCAGGAAATTCTAAACGCTAAGTCATATCCAACCGTGGAAACCTTTCTACCCGCCTTCGTCCTATCCTGGGGTTCATACCTGCTGGGAGCCCTGCAAAGGTCTCGTGGCGTTGACGCCCTGATCAGAAGCTACAGCTTCTGACCATGCTCCACTGTGCGAGCTGTTGAGCCTGTATGCATTTTTCTCAATCTTCAACTTTTCCTGGCCTCGTACTAGCTTGAGGAGATATGAACCCTTCACCACAATGTCTGTAGGACCATCTTCTCCAGGGGGACCTTGTCCAAGCTTGACGTTTCCAATGAACCAAGTAACTGGGAATGCCTGATCCTGAATTAGTTCCTGTCCAAGATATGAAGAAAATCCTTTGAACTGACCAGTGCGACGAGAGGGGTGATGGCGACAAACGCCCAGACAACACCCATCTTGGCTTGATGAACAGCCTGTTCATTTGCTGCACCATCAGAGGAAGAATGCACGCTGCTGAAGTCGCTATGGGAGTCCAGCCCAGAAGTGTTGTTGAAGACTGTAGACATGATAGTCAAGCCGATAGTACCACCAAAAGGGATGGCAACCGCCATGAGCCCAATGACGGAGGCGCGCAAGTGTCGAAAAAGACCGATGCCGTGAAGTGGCGAAGCCATGAAACGCATACCACTACCACAGCCAACAAGGGCCATCATTCCATAGATGACGCTCAGCCTGTTCGCGTAGATGGCCCATGCAAGCACTCCCAGACCGACAGCTTCGGTGAGTGTCCCTAGAAAGATACAGGGAAACGTCATGCGAGGCCATTTGTTGCACATGAAGGAGCAGATATAAACACCGGCTGTGAAGGTATTAATACGTAATTCAAGTCACAAATATCATACGAAACGAACCTCCAAGACCAGGGACAAAGTAGAGAAGCTGGACACCAGCCTCGTCAGAGTCGTAACCCTAAACATCGTTAGCAAGGAGTTCGTGTGTCAATTTGAAAAAGACTTACCCTGACTGCAATAAAGTAGATGTTACAGAAGTAGAGTACCTGAACAAGTCAGAAAGGGAACATCAAAAGTAAACGATAGCCTTACAGCATACATGCCAATTCCTGTGGCACACTCGCAATAGAAGAGAAGTCCAATATCACGATTTGAGATTAGTTCCCAGGGGAGCATTGCTCTCTGCCAGGGCAGCTTCTCGGCCATGGTATTTCCAGGGGCAAGGAGATACTCCCAGTAGCAAAAAACGCCAGCAAAGATCATACCAAGCACCAGAGGAACAATGACCGCGGGTGATGACCAAGAATATGTCGCGCCACCCCAAGTCAAAGCCAGAATAACGAGACCAAAGCCAAAGATGAAAAGAAGCTGGCCGCCAACATCAACAGTCTTGAGACGGGCGACGAATTTTGTTCGCCGGCCAGTTTCAGCTGTCTCGTTGAGCTCAGGGATGGGCTGAGGACCGAGAAGCTCCTTGCGTAGGACAAAGAAGACTATGATCAGAGCGACAGCGGCAATAGGGAGATTGATGGCAAAGCACCATCTCCAGTCAGCATTTGTGAGATATCCTAAGCCGATGTTAACTGTATTCAAATAGCAGATGTGGTTTGGAGTAGTCTCACCACCGATGACTGGGCCGAGTCCATATGAGATACCGCCGACGAGTGAGAAGATGGCCCAGTTCTTTGCGTTTTCTTGCAAAGAAACTCTATCGGCAAGAATAGTGCGAACAACGACATTGAGGCCAGCCGCAGCAAGGCCTTGAAATCCACGACCCAGAAGCAGAACTGGGAAGGCATTTGTTGGGGCCCCAGTACAAAGGGCACTGCCAATGAGCATGAGGATAATGGCTGCATTGATAGAAGCATTGCGGCCAAATACATCAGCCATTTGAGCCCAGAAAGGGATGAACGCTGCAGAAGTGAGGTTGAACGCTGAGACGATCCAGTTGAGCTGTGAGATCTCCCCAAAGTCCGAGGCAATCCACGGAAGAGCACTAGCGATGCTGTTTGAAAATGTCAGTTTCATTCTGCAATTTTCAGATCTTTCCATACATTGTCGAGTCAAGTGCTTGAAGAGCAAAGGGTGCCACTAGGCCTAGGATAATCTTCCATCGGTATATCCTCGCGGCCTTCTTTTCTGATGCACACGCAATACATTTCACAGACGAAGATTCATACGCTTCCATATGCCGACATTGTGGTTGTTGAGGTGCTTGCTTGGTAGCGTCACGTCCTGTTTCTTGCAATTCCATTGGCGCCGAGTTTTTTTGCGCTTGTTTGCGCTGCTGATTGGCCTTGATGGCCTTTCGAGCCAACGAGATCATGGTGCTATAGAAGATGTAAGAGGAGCTGATCGAGAGATGTGCCAGTTAAAGACTGAGGTATGGTCCACAGTTGAGGCGTTTGGGTATCTGAGGAGAAAAAATTATGATGATGAACCCTAGATTGCGGCATGAAATCTTCTGATATTTATCCATCTTGGAGGCAGCCTGAACAATATTGGAATCTCCATAATTGCTGATTGTTCGCATTCTCTCCTATCTACGTACGTTGCAGGTTGCGTAGAGCGTGGGTCGAGAAGGCGAAGCATGTAACTCGCAAAGACAAGCAATCGAATGAGGTTTCCTATTCAAGAGGAATACGAAAAACCAAAGCCAATAAGAAGTGCTAAAATGTCCCAACGCGGTGGGATTATTTGTCCGTAAGTTGATGCGAGATGAGGTTCGTAGGGCTGTGTTGGAACCGAGATGTAGTCTCGAATGGCTAACTAGAATCGGTTAGTGCATTGCTCGAATCGCTAACTCTTATGGGATATATTGTTCAACAATGTTATGCCGACTCACTTGAGCATCTCATTACGACAGCTTCATGATGGATTTTACTAATACAACTTGATTGTACTTGCGACGGCATTTGAAAAGCTATCGCACTCGGAAAAGAGAGCCTTCAATCATGATGGCTGGTTACCAAGTTATGTGTTCAATAATTCAATTTCAAGACACATAGGATCACAAAACATCACCATGTAGGGGTTTCCAAACTTCCATCTGGAGTAAACCATATGGATTGCGTTTTCAAAAGAAATGTGCGGCTGGCCAAACATTAAATTGTCGGCGCCGGGCCGATGCCTCTGACGGAGCGGAGCCGAAGATGGAGGACGGATCCGTGCTTTAAGGACAGCCGAAACGTTGAATGACATCATATCATATGGCCGTCGGTCGGTACTAATCTTAGAGGAAATAACAGTAACACACTAACGTCAACTCATCCTCAGAAGAATGCTGCAATGGCTAGTGCAGAAAGACAAGGACCGAATACATATTAACTGGGACTTGGGTAAGGAGCAAGAAACCCTATTGCCTTTTGACCAGGTAACTACCAGTACGGAGAAGGAAAGTACGGTTTATCGCAAGACAGGCAGGGTTACCCCACGAGATCCTCCATCTTTCCCCCCCCAATTGTCCTCCTCAAAAACTCGCCTCAGTAAATGTTGAACTAAACCACTGTACCAAAGACCTACAAAATGTAAGGTCCCTACACTAGGGGCCTAAGGCAACAGGGCTTATATTTTCTGTACAACAGTAAATATACATCTACAAGCCTTTTCAATACAACAGAACGTCCCTACATGCCACTCAAATCAACTCAGGTGTTCCTATTCTACCCACTCGCACTGGAACTTCAAAAGTCTGGCGTCTGGATGCGGCTGCGGCTGCGGCTGCGGCGATCCCGCATTTGATGTGTTGCTCTCCACTGCGGGAGCGAGGGGGCCAACGTGTTGGAGCATGGGTACCTAGGTAGCTATGACGAAATAAGCTCTATCACTGCCGTCCTTTGGACCGAACCGAAAATAGGCCCTGGCTATCGAGTGCCAATATCTCTCCGTTATTATACCCGTTACAGATCCAGACTACCAAAACCATCGACAGCCGGGCTCCGTTGGCCCTCGGGAATGCCAAGAGTCCCCGGAAAATTACACACTTAGCTTACACAGGCAATCGTAGGTTTCCAGTCTGTCGTTTGCCTACGGCATGTGCTCTCTTCTTGCCGCACACCAAAAAGCATCACAAGCTCTTTTAGGTAATTGTCTTTCTTACCCATGGATGGGCCCCCAAGAAAAAGCAGAAGAATTCTGGAGGGCAACAGTTCGAGTATCACAGGCAGGCCACTTCTAGAAGACGCAGCAGTGTCCTTGCCCAGACAACACAACTTCTTCTTAACTATTTGAGAAGCAAAGAAATGATGAAAGAATGAGCCTCGCCAACCATCGTCAGCCCAGACGACAAGTGCGGCACATGATGCTGCGATTTGCTGCTCTCTACGAGCTGTCCACTTTAGCCCACCCATGACACCTCTAACCATGGTGCACCACATACCTCCAAATTCGATAAAGGACACCAGATCATTAGACACAAGCGCTTGACTGTCCCTTCGAGACCTCACATCACCGCGTGCATGCAGAAAGAGAGACAGGCAAGCAATCACACAGTACAATTGCTTTTTTTTTATTTTTGCCACGTGAAAGGACCCCAACTGAGCGGTTTCCCCTCATCATAGCCGCTTACTGAAATCTGGGGTTTGGGGTTATCATCAAGGCTTTTTTGCCTCTTTGATTGCTGGTCGGCCACTCCCCGTTACGACGGTTGTGGAAGCGTTCAAGATATGGCATAATTCAACCAGTCAGAAGCAATCCATTTAACTCCAACTGCCCTTTGATAGTGGATCCTTTCCGGTCTAGGCTTCGATCTATCAGCTCGACTTTGTCGTCACGGTTGTGTCTGGCAACCATATTCTGAACATCCCGTCGTCCGAACCACCAACCTTTATCACTTTTATTGTTCGGGAAACGTCCGTAACGGTAAACTCACACTCTGAACCGGCGACGCCTCGCGGCGAACCGTTCCTAGGCTCTAGTCTAGGCACTACGTAGCCAGGCACTGCACCTACTTCGCTTCTGCACGCCACCCGGTTGTCCTTACAAGATTCGTTACTGGGTAGCCTCATTGTCTTCATCCCGGTCTTATCCCCTTATAACCATCACGATACGGGCTCCAAATCCGGCACCGATTTCATCGCTACCGGCTCTTGTCTCTCGGGGATTTCTCGCTTTTCCGTACTGAACATTCTCTCCTGTTCTGGGTAAGTTCTATGCCAGACCCGTTTACCTCGATGTCCCCTGATCCCACGTTTCGGCACTGAGCACCTGTGTTATCGGACTTGCGGAGGCGTTTCATTACTGTCAAATCCTGTCCTGGGCCCTCTTTGTCCTATCATAGCCCTCGACTGTTTTTACTCCCCAAGATGCTCTCCCTCACGTTCGGCTACCCCCAGTATTCTTTACGCTGAGGGTGAAGTCTAGAGGGTGTGCATGGGGTGCATATAGGGTCCACTTGACTCTTGTCTAAGCCAGCTCGGTCACAGTACTCTGCTTATATCAGAGCCATATGCCCTCTCAACTTGGGCTGGTCTTGGCTGTTGTATTCATCGCTCATCTTCTCCCATTCAAGAAAGCACTTCGTGTAATGCCAAACTACTTCCTTCAAGAGGGCTGTCATTACTTCTACCGAACCGCTCTCCGCGGACTCAACGTTAGCACAAGCGTGTCACCTCTCTACGCCTAAACTTCGTTTCCATCACCCCCGACTAACACCATGACTCAAGTCCGCACTTTCACTCCTCCTCAGCCCCTTGGAGACAGGCTCTCTGACTCAAATTCTGCTCCAAAGCCTGCTGGTTCTACCGTTCCTCGAACTCTTCCCGATATTCCAGAGCTTGCTCAACCACGACGCAATTCTCCCCCAAGACTTAGCGGCGACTATACTCGTGTTCCAATGGCCAACTACAACGAGTCACGGAAAGATGGTGGCATCACTTTCTCTGGGCAGGACAAACTACCCAAGCTGCCTATCCCTGAACTCGAGGCCACCTGCAAGCGGTATCTTGAAGCTCTCAAGCCACTCCAGACAGCCCGAGAACATGCAGAGACACAGCATGCCGTCAACGAATTCCTAAAGAGCGATGGGCCCGAGCTGCAGGAGAAATTAAAGGCATATGCTCAGGGCAAGACGAGTTACATTGAACAATTCTGTATGTCAGAACATACCTCTGATTTATAACAAAGCACTAACTTTCTTAGGGTATGATTCTTATCTCAACTTTGATAACCCCGTTGTTCTCAACTTGAACCCTTTCTTCTTGCTTGAAGATGACCCAACTCCCGCTCGTAATGATCAAGTCACTCGTGCTGCTTCTTTGGTTGTCTCATCCCTTGAATTCGTTCGTGCAGTGCGAAAGGAGGAGCTTGCTCCAGACAAGGTCAAGGGAACTCCACTTTGCATGTACCAGTTCTCGAGACTATTCGGCACTGCGCGAGTTCCCACTGAGGAAGGATGCCAAATCGAGCAAGATCCTGAGTCGAAGCACATCGTCGTCATGTGTCACGGCCAATTCTACTGGTTCGATGTCTTGGATGACAATTCAGATGTCATTATGAGCGAGAAGGATATCTCCATCAACCTGCAGACCATTGTTGATGATGCAACCCAAGTTCCTATCCAAGACGCTGCCAAAGGCGCTGTGGGAGTCCTGAGCACCGAGAATCGCAAGGTATGGTCAGGCCTTCGAGATGTCCTGACTAGCGAGCCTGGCTCCAACAATGCGGATTCACTCGGAATTGTAGACACGGCCCTCTTCGTTCTTTGCCTCGACTACACAGAGCCTGCAGACGCTGCAGCCCTTTGCCAGAACATGCTTTGTGGTACCAGCGAGATTGAGAAAGGTGTTCAGATCGGCACATGTACCAACCGATGGTACGACAAGCTTCAAATAATCGTTTGCAAGAACGGAAGTGCTGGTATCAACTTTGAGCATACCGGTGTCGACGGCCACACAGTTCTGCGATTCGCTAGCGATGTTTACACCGACACCATTCTTCGATTCGCCCGCACAATCAATGGCCTGGCTCCTTCGCTCTGGGCATCTTCCAGTCCCGACCCCTCCAAGCGTGATCCCGAGAGTTTTGGAGATGTTAGTGTCACTCCTCGAAAGCTGGAGTGGGATATGATCCCTGAGCTTAGCGTCGCAGTTCGCTTTGCAGAGACTCGATTGGCAGATCTCATTGAGCAAAATGAGTTCCAGACTTTGGACTTCGGCCACTATGGGAAGAACTTCATCACTTCCATGGGCTTCTCTCCAGATGCCTTTGTTCAGATGGCTTTCCAAGCGGCATACTATGGGCTCTATGGCCGTGTTGAGTGTACATATGAGCCAGCCATGACCAAGACGTTCCTACACGGCCGAACCGAGGCGATCAGAACCGTATCGTCAGAGGTCGTTGATTTCGTCCAAGCCTTCTGGGCTGATAATCCTGTCGACGCAAAGATTGAGGCACTCAGGAAGGCGTGCCAGAAGCACACCGCAAATACCCGACAGTGTCTGAAGGCCGAAGGCTGTGACCGACATCTCTACGCTTTGTTCTCGGTATGGCAGAGGAGTCTGGATGATGGCCTTGATAGTGGTTTCAACAGCAACGGTTACTCGAGCCCGGGAGATGGATACTCCGACCCAGCAGGATCGCCCGTGGGAAGCCCAGGTAACGACTCACTGCCCTCTGTTGACGGCGTTGAAGTGAGGCCTACACGAGATCGTGGCTACAGCGTCAACTCGAGATCGCGCGACCAGAACCCACTTCCCCTCCTGTTTGCTGATTCTGGGTGGGATAAGCTTAATAACACAATCCTTTCAACTTCCAACTGTGGTAACCCTTGTCTACGCCAATTCGGTTTCGGTCCCACATCAGGGGATGGTTTCGGTATTGGGTATATCATCAAGGATGAAGGGCTCGCTATTTGTGTTGCTAGCAAACACCGTCAGACAAAACGCTTTGTTGACACCCTCGAGAGCTATCTTCTTGAGGTTCGTCGCATCCTACGTATCGATAACCGCAAGATGTCAACTGGAAAAGTGAGCCGCGCTCGCGAGGTGGAATTCGAGAGACCCAAGCTGGTGAGCCGCATCAAGTCAAGAGGTCGTCCTATCACCGCTGTCGAGAGCCTGCGATCTGCGACTGGCACAACATCCCCCACCAACGAGAGTAGCACCTTTAGCGAAGATGACGAAATGGGCGGGTGTAAGTTTCTCCCTCCTACCCTCAATTCCCTTCAACATAATATACTAACTTGATAACTAGATGGATTCTTCGATGCTGGGATGCTGTTGCAAGCACTCAAGGCTCGCAACGAACAGTTTGAGTCGACTGATACGCGCGCTTCAGACAGGGCTGCAGCTGCTCAGGCTCGCCGCCGTGACATTGGAAAGAAACTGAGACTGAGTGACTATTAATGATCATACCATATCATATAGTACATATTTCATTGCATAGCGTGGTCATGGATCTTGCATGGAGTTAAAAGGAGGCTCATGTTTTATATCAAGACACCTAGGTGTAAGCATTGAAAGTAGTGATTTTACAGTTTTTTATGTTTATAAACGAAGTCATACACATATGCGCTTTGTCCAACGTTAATTGCTACAAGATGTTCTCACAAGTACCAAGTCATCGGCTATCGGATAACGTAGCGTTAACTGCCCCAGGAAAACTGAGCACCGAAAGGTTGGCCTGCCTTTGGAGCACGTATCCTAACATTGTAGATAGAACAAGCGATGGGCCCTTTGACCAAGATCATGCACCAGCCGAATATCGTCACATTGCACGGAGCCGTGTAAACTCAGTCGTATCTTGTACGGATCTAGCGACTTGGTTTTGTATCGTGGAAAAGGAGAGCATAACCTGCGCAAACCTGACTGGCATTACTGACGAGGCAATCACAGACACGGCCAAGACATTCACGTATTGGAAGTCATGCAAGTTAAAGCAACCCTGATTCAAAGACCTAGTCAAAATACAGGTAGGGGTTCCCTCCTCTCCCAGGCCAGCAGACTGGCACCTCCACAAGGACCTCTTATTCTCCAGTAGAAAGCAATAAATCATCGTTTCCCTAAAGTCATACAACCCAAACATGGATCGTTCCCGAGTCGAATTCGCAAGCAAATGTGAAGGGAAAAGAAAACCAATAGGTCCGAAAAGAATTGAGTCGTCTATGCCGATGTCTGATGATTGTGATCTCGCCGATCCAAATACATGTACACGCCTTAATCGTGATACCCATACCCTCATGTGCGCAGCCATTCTCCCCGAGCGAAGCACACGAAAAGCAGTGGCCCCATGATAAGCGGCTGTAGTCCTATAGCGCCCTTTTGATAATGTACACACGGCAAGGCCCTGAAGGCCGTCGTGTCAATCGATCGCGATGGGCCTGCGCCCTTTTGGCTATGCTTCTGAGACGTGGTGAAACAGATCAAAGGAAAATCGTGAATCATGGCGGTGCCGACCTTGCGGTACCACTGAGAGCCATAATGAACGTCATTTTACAACCAGGTCCATAAAAATGTCAAGACACAAGTCTAAAGCCACTGGGGCTGTTCGCCCTGACCCGTGCTGACATTTCCGTTGCCATTGGCAGGGCTCGTAGGGACGCTGTTGCCACTGGCTTGGCCACCGAAGTTACTGTTACCGGCGCTGCCATTAGCTGCACCGTTGACAGCAGCATTGGGAGTGAAATTGCCAGGAGTCATCTGTCCGTACTGAGGCTGCTGAACAGGTCCACCAGGAGTAGGAACTTGTCCGTTCATGGCGGGGTTAGGGGAGTAGATGGGCATGTTCTGGCGCATAGGTGCCATAGGCCCACCGTGCGGCATACCATTGCCCTGGAGAATAGGGCCACCTCCAGAAATACCTCGAGCGTGAGTAGCGCGCATAGGAATTTGACCCTGGGTGTTGTCGGCTGGTGTCACTTGCCCGCTAGAGGCAGCGCTTCCACGGTTGTCGAAGGCCGAGATCTTAGCTTGAATACGACGGCCGTAGGGAGTGGTTCGAATCTGGGGAAGAATGGGGCGGATGGCCTCTACAAGGCGATGCTTTTGATGAGGAGTAGCATACTCAAGAGCAGTCTGAATGACATAGTTGGCGAATGAGTCCCGGAGGAGGCGCTCCATCTCCTGGTTGCGTAGCAGCTCCTCCACGATCAGATCCTTGGAAGGTGCCTTGGCGCAGCGCAGGCACTTCTCGATGACGTTGGAGCTGAACTTATGGCGGGACAGCTGAGTGATACAATCCTTGAAGGTAAGAACGATAGGCTCGGTGAACAGAGGTTCGTTCAAGTCAATAATGTACTGAACGACGTAGTTGCCAAAGGGGTCCTGGACAAGGATTCGTGCATGCTCGGTGATTCGCTGGATAAGCCACAGCTTCTGGTCGCCAGAGGCATGGTCGATACAGCGTTGAAGAACACAGCAGCCGTGTCGGTGAGTGCCCACTTCGACACAGCTGCCGCCAACAGCGTCAAAAATGAACTGCGCATCAGGGGGGGTAAGTTTGTTGAGACACTTCTGAATGACATGGTTGCCGTTGAGGTCCTGGATAAGCTCCACAACCCGGTAGCGAAGAGCCTCGATGATGATGTGGACCTGCTGAGGGGTGCTCACATACTCGATCATCTTCTGGAGTGCGCGTGTGCCGTGCTGGTTGAGCGCGATGCGGACCATATCCTGGGAAGCATTTTGAATCAAAGTAGTCCTCTCATCGTCATTGCAGAACTCAAGGAGCTTTTGGCACAAATAATTACCAAACGGGTCCGTCATGAGCTCAATGACGTGCTGGTTGGTTTCGGCCCAAATCATGTGAACCTGATCGGCGTTGCGCTCCTCAAGCTTCTTCTGGAGGTAACGGCAGCCATGTTGGTCCTTGCAAAGCTCATAGATGTTGCCCACGAAGGAATCAAGGGGCGTGTTCTGGTAGCGAGACATGGCTGCAAAGCTAGTCAGTGTGTGCTGATACGGAACTACTCTGGAGGCAGACTCACCTTCATTGTCAAGCTGTCGGCGATGCTGAATGACGCGTGCCTGGCTGTCTCGAGGCTGATTACCCTGGTTGTACGGACCGGCGTTGTAGCCGTTGTAGTTCTGAGGCTGATACATGTTGCTGCCGTTGGCCCCATTCATGTTCATCTGCTGCATACTGTTCGCGAGCATATTGACGTTGTATCCTCCTGGCTGATGGGGTGCTCCCTGAGGCATCACCTGGGGAATGCCGCCTTGAGGGATGCCTTGAGGAGCGCCGTACCCGTTGGCGGAATAGAACACATTGTTGTAGTTGTTCGCGGCTGCGGCCCCGGCGGAAGGGTTCACCATAGCAGAGGGTTGCACTGCAGCTGTAGTACTGGGCCCAAAGGGAGCGGCACTGGCCTGCAGGGCAGACTGGATCGAAGGATAGTTGTGCTGCTCACGGCTAACAGCAGGGTTCTCTGAAGAGAGCTCCCGACTGTGGCCACGATGGACCGCACCAGCTGGGATGCGGCCAAGGCTGGCATTGTGGTTGTGGAAATGCTGCTGTGCATGATTGTTTGTCTTTGAAGACGAAGCCCCAGGGCTCTTGACCGTGGGAACCTCACTCGAAGAGAACGAGCTCTGCAGCTTCGGGGGAGTCGCCATGTTGGGAGTCGCACTAGGAGACATGATGGCACCAGTCTCAACAGCGTTTTCCGAGATATACTTAAGATCCATAGAATGGCGGAGGGAAGTAGGTCGAGATGCTAGGCCAACAAGATCGCTTACGACGTTGGAGCTTCCGTTGATCGAAGAGAGACTCTGCTGAGGGCGATGACGGTTAACAACACGGCTCCAACCTCTTGAAGAAGGTGTCGACTCGGGATTAGGAGACGGGGATAGGGCAAGATCTAAGGCGGCCGAGGACGCTGAGAGCTGAGAGTAGAGTTGTGGGTCAGAATTCGACGCAACAATAGTACAACAATATAGGTTCTGTGGTGGGGCGCTCGAATAGATAGAGGGCCAAGAGCTCAAGATCTTATTGCGCCAAAGGAAAAACAGTAGGGAAAGGAAACCGACTGGGCCTTATGCAGGAGAGTGGAGGAGGGTTCTATGCAGAAGAGCAAATGCTGAAAGACAATGGGTGCGTGGTTCATAGAGAGCTCGAGGTGAACATGCACCACTCAGAGAAATGTGGAGCCCAGTTGTAAGTCGAGAAGCTGGAGCAAAGCAATAACTTCCTGAATGTAGTCTCCGCGGAGTTGGCTCCGTTTGATAGGGGTGAAATGGCGAGATGAAAAGTTGCTGAGATGAAAGAACGTGAAAATACTTACAATCTGATCGTCGTGACGAACAAGAGTTGGGAAGTTTGCATCAGGACCACTATGGCCTCCTGCATTCGTCTCTTCGTCACCAAAAAGAAAACGAGTAGTGTTTGTTTGATCAAGACCAACGTCATACATCCCCGTACGTGAACGCGTCACAGGCATCGAGTATCGATTGATTCTATCGTCGAAGTTCATAGTTAGCTTTTTATGATTATCCTTAACAACAAAGTTGATGCTAGCGTTTGCTGAGTTGGATGAGGATTCTGGTATTGCAGATGGAGTTGTGTTTTTTGAGGAGGTTGAAATAATGGGAGTCGAAGCAGAGATTTACAGAGAGGATTATATAGTCCTCCCGAAGCTTTCTGTTCCGAGAGTGAATCACTGTTTGACTTTTGCGAGGTTTTCGCCTTCTCACTAGAGAAAGTCCTCATACAAAATCAGAGCTCTCATACTTTGGCTCGGAGTTAAGATTCACCCACTAATAGCATCACGCTTAGAAGGTTCCAACGCAGGAAACCTAGTAAGAAATTATAACCAGCTTGCTTATGTGGCAATTTACAGCAAAGCCCGAAGCTGGACCTGCAAGAGCTCTAAAGAATGGCAACCCTCACTTGAAGAGGTGCGCGCTCAGGAATAGAAAGGCATGGACATGCAATAGGAGCTGTCACTTACGCATTACCAGAGCGATGACTGCTGGGATCTTGTCGAACAGCCTCCTCCTTTTCATCATCACTATTTCTTCGAGTAGTTGGCACAGAACGAGAAGGCATTTGGGTCGTAGTATCCTCAAATCCAAAGCGTGCCTGTCTGATACCGGATTGGGGAGAAGCGAGTTGCGAGCCGGATCTAACAGGGCGGTTGAATAGACCTGGAGGGGAGGTCAAGCTAGACATAGAGTATCGGCTCGGCCGCGATAAAAACGTAGGGAATCCAGAGTTATCTCGGTATTCGGGGGGTGTGGTGGGCTCGGACTGGTGGCCGCCCATTCTACCAACTTCCTCCTCCATCTGAGCAAGTTCCAAAGCCTCTCGTCTTTGTTGTTGATCCAGCTTTTGCATCTCGAGCTCAAACCTCCGCCTTTGCTCACGGATTCGTTCATACTCCATCTTCTTCTTCTCGATCTGAGTCTATCATTAGTTAACGGCCGTATCTTGGGTCGGTTGGTGTCGCATCGTTTCGGAATCGAGCGCTTAGGTCCGTCCGACTTGGACAAATCGGCAAATACGAAGACAAATCTGGGCAGAGAATACGAGCATCAGAACGTACCAATTGCACCTTGTGCATTGCCTACCATCACACATGTCAGTACTTGCTGTTATTAGAGAGATTGGCAACTTTCGTAATCCATCACGAAACGAAGCCACCCGGAGCCCTGTCGGGGTTTCCAAGCAAGCGACAGATTCGTCATATGTTGATTACTCACATTATAGTCCTGGGGAGGTTCGGGCACCCGTTGAGCACCCAGAGAGGAAAGTGTCGGGACTCGACCAGAATCGGTGGTAAAGCGACGAGGCAGGCCAGATCGATGGTCGTGGGCGCCGGCATGAGGGTTGACCTGGGAGGCAGGCATTCTGGAGGCATTTCGAGTAGGTGAGACAAACGAATGCATGGACTGGTCGTTGCCCCGCGGGGACTGCTGGGAGCGAAAGCGTAGTTCATCCATGATGGATTAATAGATACAGGATAAAGATAGTACACGCCGAATTGGCCAGCGGTCTCAGCCTATAATACTAAAAACATGAAAGAAACAGATGAGCATCAGTTACCGCGTTTGTATAGACGATAAGGTGTAGGATGAAGCAGAGGAAGGGCAAAAAGAGACGAGGTAGGTAAGTAGGTTAGGTAGGTAGGTAGTGGATGGAACGTTGTTGAGAGGCGGGGTGGACGTGGTCAGTGTGGGTAAGGCCCTGAGAATGGGGGGTGTCTTTTGGGGCTGGCTTCCTGAAGCAACAACACTGGGGTGTTGGTGGGAGCTGAGTTTGGTGCACCTCAGACTTGACTTGGAGTAGCCGGCCTGTGTGCTCGAGGCAGTGTGAGCATACCTAGGCAGCCGGGATTGAAGGCGAACTGCACAGTATACAGAACCCATCAGGACCCATAGGAGCTCAGGATATGGAGAGGATAGACGAGGAGGACTTGCTGTGATGATAGAGCTTCAAGCCACACGGGCCACAACGATGTCGTGAACAAGGAGGCAGAGACAGAGCTCGGAGTTGAAGTGTTGAATTCGGAATGGTGCAACTAGGATGTGGTATGAAACGTGGGATGACAACATTTGTAGGAATGACCAAAGCCAGGAAAGAGAGGAAGGGCACACCAAGGGATATAATCTTCATACTCTGTCTGTCACAGTTCCGTCTGTCTTCTATATTCTGAAAGCAAATAACCATCGCAAGAACAAGCGGGGAGTAGTTGTTTGCTTGGCCGTCTTGTCGGAATTAAGGTAGCATGGGCGCGCGATCTATACCAAGTTGGCGTGCCGTGCCGCGATGTGAATGGATATCTTTCTACCAAAGTGAAATATGTATGGATGGGGGATATTGCACTATGTCGCCGGCGGCGGTGATTCGTGGTGCGGTGCGGGATGTCGGGTTGTGTATTTCATGCCCGCCGCGCTATGCTCGGTACCTTTGGCTGAAGACGGGGCGATAGAACCCACAGGACAGAACAGAACGGAACAGAGTAACAAGATGATATAATAACGATTGTGGTATTACAGACAACACGCCTTGAAGCTGATGGTTGTCTTTGAGAGAGGGTAGGAGAGCGAATGAGTGACAGGGGTGGAGAGACGGGAGGTACAAGTTCCTTCCTTCTGGGAGGTAGGTTGGTTGCCTGCTTTGACAAACCAGAGATATAGAGATAGACTCTAGACAAAAAAAGTGAACCAACCTGGATTTGAAATGGCAATCAATCAATGCACGGGAGTCAACAATCAATCGTATAATAGACACTTGGCACGTGTCTTTGGTGGTGATACAATCGATGATCCAGTTACAGGCTTTTCTCTCTCACAGCGCGCCCTGGAAGCCAGGAGCGACAAGCTGGTTTGGAGGAGAGGAAGCAAGTTGCGATCAGTAGGCAGACAAATAGTCGAGGTTGGCGTGAGAGTGAGTGATCAGAGGAGAAGAAAAATAGGTCAAGCACGGAGTATCCAGTGGACAATGGGGACCTAAAAGATTGGCCTAACGCGGGTGTTTGACGCTCGGCTTAGAGGTCGGCGCGTGTATGTGGACACCAGACAGGGCCTCAGAGACATAAAGGCAAGTCGCAGGGTTTGGTTACAGGTCAAGGATGAAGCAAAGAGCAGCAGGGATATATACCAAGTTTCCATTGTTTGGGACCTAAAGTTTTCCATATTCAACACCGAATATTGCGTTTTATAAACTATATTCTTTGGATTACATACAAGCCAACACACAAACAATTTGATGATATAGTTACGGAACGAGACAAGAAATCATGTTCAATCAGGGGTTGTCTTACTCAAGAGTGAGGCTGACTGTTCTGGTCCAGATCTACATATACACCTCGGCTTACCTCTATCCTGGGAATCAAGAGCCAGCGTCGTACTGAAGTTTGTTAGACCAGGCGGGTAACTTACATGACATACACACGCACGCACGCACGCACGCAAGACACCTCCCTCACATGAAACTTTTGTCAAGAACTGCTTTCTGGTCTCAAGAAACCACTAACGAGACCATCAGTGGGACCCAAGCCAGGCACCATCAGAACAGAAAAGCAAAATCTCCAGGGGACGGGAAGGGAGGGAGGGATAGCGGATGGATACCTCAATGTCCACTTCTTCCAACGGCTAGGCACATCAACTAGTGACGGCCGAGTCCAATTGGTGTGTCGGCTTTATTCCAGAAGCAAGTGAGTGTGAAGGGTCCATTTGTGCTTATAAATTTGCATATAAAAGCTCAGTAATTCAGGCTTGTCTGGATCCAGTAGAGTAATAGTCATTGTTGCGGATGGTCGAATAAGCCTCGGGCTCTTCTCGTCCGCACGCCTTTAGAGGTGGGCTATGGCATGAGCAGGGTGTTGTACAATAGAATGCTTGAATATCTGCTGAGGGATGCATCGTATGTTGAGACAATCATGTCAGCTGAGACACCAGATATTTATACACAAAACGCATTTATATTTGACTCATGTTTGTAGAGGAGATTGGGCCGGTTATACACATTGTATCGGGCCTTGGCCATAACGGCCTCGGATCTAATCGTGCATTTGGAGCGCAGGTTGACATGAGCATGGAGGGTTGCAAGGATTGTGCATCATGGCTTGTCAAGGTCCCTGGCAGCGGCACATTAGCTTATTACAATGATAAAAACCCTCCACTGTTGCCGTCGTGAGTGTCTCTCAGCCTGCGAGCATTTATCGGAGTATTTATCCCTCCTGACCTGTGTATATGTTGCACTAGACGATAATTCGTCCATGTTCTGCGCTACTCAACAGGTTCACACTACGAATTGTGAGACAAGCATGAATCTGCAGGGTGAGGAGGAGAGATGCGTGTCGAGTTAAGGCTCCTATTGGGTCATGCACTCATTTTCCCCTCCTACAACAGCAAGCTTCAATCTGCATCTAGTGCATCTACCAGGATTAGGATTCGGCTGGTTCGTAGCAAGACTCTAGCCATTACTGGAATTCCTTTTCAATTTCGAGTCAATTTCGAATCAAGTAGAAAGTCACTCCCAGAGACATTCAGGAGCCTGCAACGTGGAAGAGCTCAGAGACCAAGGCACACAGGGTCTCTAAATGCCGGTTGAAAGAAACTTGCCTCAATCGTGTCAACCCACCATAACCTCTTCTCGTGAATGGACAATGATTGATATCTCGAAGCCCCCGGTCTCAAAGAGGCACGCAAGACCTGGACCAAGCGCACATCCCCGTCACTTCAATATGATCCACCGATTGGTTGGTGTTTCTATCCTTCCTGCACGTCACCCAAAACCCGTCCCATCCTGAACTGCAAAAGCCAAACTAACATGTCCCCAGATTGCCCTTGATGCATCGACCAGGAACGCCCTGACATGGGAGCTCTGCTTATATCAACCTGACAGGTCCGTTGCAGCACAAGCTGTCAATGTTAAGTCGGGCCTCATATTGCCACTCTATCTCGACAGCATCTATAGCCGTCAGCCATCCGCCACAGACAGTTGACACATGACGATCCATAGCCTAATTTCGTTCACCGCTTCCAATAAATCCTCCACCTGGCGCTTCGTGGGTTTTAAGCTGATTCGCACCTCTGACTGGCATTGCTAACAAGAGGCCAATGACACGGAAATCGTGGTGGCTGACCATGAGATACAAATGATGGATTTCGTATCGTTACTGGTTGATGGAGCCTGACCAGGAACCGATCGATGGACAGTCATGGCCTTGGTCCGTGGTGCGACTTGCGTCATGCTTCCCTTTGACCTCACACAGTAGCGTCTTGGGATGATGCCATCAAGGCCAATCATTATCAACCGTTCTGAAATAAATACAAAGAGGCCATGGGGGTCACAAAGGCCCTCGGCCTGGTCGGTACGAAATCCACCCTGAGCAGCGCTGTTGCACATGGGGAATCCCTAGTTGAGCCACTGCCGATGGGGTTAACTATGGCCTTGGGACTTCTCTATCAGGCACCGTTCCCACACAACTGCGAATAACTTCGTTCGCCATATCGACCATCTCATAGCCCCAAAACGATAAGGTCACTGGCTCGAGTCGTGCTGGGGAGCTACGACAGTAAAATTTCTGGCGTTGAACCATTTTCACCAGTCCAAGTAACCTGAAGCATTTACTCCTTAAAGGCATCATCGATGGGCTTGAGTATGACAGTACATACGGAGTACACATTCTTCACTACAGCTTGACGAAGCACGTCGAGATCCACCGCCTGCTTCTTCTGCATGTCCCTCTGGCTGGTGCCCCTCACTCTCAAAAAGACTCAATCCCTTCACCGACTTTTACAACCTGCCGCTACAAGTGGTCCATCAAGCTAGTCAGGTTGCCGTCCCACCCTACTACGTCGCGACTAGAAGTCAGGGTCCGATCAACTCACACTAGGGGGCTAATAGCCAGCGCCAAGAATCATGTCTTTGCTTCATTCCGCTACGATCACAGCACATGAGCCAGGTGAGCTAGCTTTCGTGGGCTACGGAGTGGTCTCCTCACTTCAGAAAATACCCGTCAAAACCCCAGTGACACACATCGATGCTAGGCATGAACAGATAGACACCTTGCAGAGGGTTACCTGCCTATGTGTACATGCTCATGCGGGGGTGTGATGTTGTACAGTCGATCCCGAAGCCAAGTCTGTGAGCAACTTGCGTTGAGCAAAGTATCCATGCTGAGGGTTCGGAAGTGGCAACCGCCATAACGATGAGGATGAATTATTCTTTAATATACACATCCTGTGATTATTACCTTGGGTAGGTAGCGATTAATTGTAGAAATGGCGTTGACGCCCAATATAACATCTTTCGTCGGTTTCTTTGACAGAACTACTGTTGCGTTTAAGCATCCAACTCTTTGTGTGGCTATTCTATATTTCAGCCGGATAGTCCCCTGTAATCGAAAAGGTATTTGGGCCTTCCATTGGTGATGATGTGATGCCAGTCTTACATTTTACGAGCCTCTGCGAGCCTATATGCTAGACGCCATCCCATCACCACTGAAAACTACCTTGCATCTCCGATGGAGGTTAACACTGCTGAATAGTTTGACACTGTACTAGGTCTAAATGCGACCATGTCTCAAATTCAGAAAGTATTGCTCTAATACCTTTAGAAAACAAAATCAACCATCAGAAGCATAGGGTAGGCCAGATCAAGAACCGAAGACGTCGGTTTCGTAGTGAATACATTAGGTAAAATTGCTCATTTCTGAACAATACTATGAAGCTCAGAGTAGAATGATATACAAAATGGAAGTCGGTGCTTTCTATAAAATGCCTGTTTTAAAAAGGAGTCCAAGACGTTTCAACGTACACGTTTGTACTGAAGGAGAAATATATCACGTGACACATATCACCAAACTCTCGTCCCCCACCGTGGCGCACCCGATCAAGCCGGCTCCACCTAACTATGACCGCGGGGCAAGAACTTTTTGCGAAGCTATCGCAAGCTGGTGCAGAAAAAAAGTAGTCGCCGCAAACACGCACCCAAAAACCATCCTTTTTAGATGTGCGCTCTTAGGTGACATTCAAGATGCCTACGGTCGACGATGGCTTTGAGGCTCTCCTGGAGCCATTCTACAATGGCAAGAAGCTCACGGATCCTATTTCCACAAAGGAGGACAAGTTCCAGCTCCTGCCAGCCTTCTTGAAAGTCAAGGGTAAGGATGTCGATCAGCCCGGTGAGCCTTCTTGCTAACTTGTTTATAGGTCTCGTCAAACAGTATGTATCATGATAAAGCGCGCAGAGCTTGCGATTGTACTTCGAAGTTTCTGACTGGAACTAGGCACATTGACTCCTACAACTTCTTTGTGGAGCAGGAGATCAAAGATATCGTACGCGCCAATCGAACCATTCGAAGCGAAGTAGACAGCAATTTTTGGCTAGAGTATGTACTGGGATGTCAAGTAAATTAGCCATGCTAACATTACTTTCCAGGTTCACAGATATCCGAGTAGACAGTCCTCGACGTCAAGATTGGACAGACAACAAGTCACATAGCGAAGTGACTCCCATGGAGTGCCGCCTTCGAGATATGACTTACGCCGCGCCAATTTTTGTCGACATACAATACATCAGAGATAAGCAGCGAATTGTGCGAAAGAATGTGCCTCTTGGACGCATGCCAGTCATGCTCAAGAGCTCTAAGTGTCGTCTTGCCGGAGCCAATAATACGCAGATGGAGGAGATGAACGAATGTCCACTTGACCCTGGCGGTTACTTCATCATTGGTGGTACCGAGAAGGTCATTTTGATTCAGGAGCAACTGAGCAAGAACCGCATCATTGTCGAAGCCGACGAGAAGAACAACATTATTTCAGCATCGGTCACCAGTTCTACACACGAACGAAAGTCGAAGACCTACGTAACTCTGAAGAAGGACAGAATTATGCTCACACACAACGTCCTGGTGGAAGGTATTCCGATCGTTATCATCCTGAAGGCTCTGGGAGGATTGTCAGATATGGAAATTATGCAGCTTGTTGCTGGATCAGATGGAAGATACCAAGATGAATTCCTGGTAAACTTTGACGAGGCCACAAAGGCTGGCGTTTTCACTCAGCACCAGGCGCTGGAGTATATCGGAGCAAAGGTAAAGATGGGTTCCCGAAGAGGCACATTCGGTCCTCAGGTGCGCCGTAACCACGTCGAAGAAGGCCTCGATGCCCTGGCCAACCTGGTCATTGCCCACGTGCCAATTGAGGGACTGGATTTCTACCCCAAGGCCATCTATGTGGCTCAGATGACCCGAAGGGTTCTCATTGCCGCCCACAACCCCAAGTTGGTTGACGACAGAGATTTCGTGGGAAACAAACGGCTTGAGCTGGCTGGTCAACTTCTCTCACTTCTATTTGAAGATTTATTCAAGCAGTTCACATCTGGAGTTAAGATGTCAATCGACAAATTCCTGAAGAAAAACAACAGGGCAGTTCCTCTCGATGCGGTTCATATGATTAGCAACCACGCCAACAACATTGGATATGGAATCAACCGAGCCATTCAGACTGGAAATTGGACTGTCAAACGCTTTAATATGAACCGAGCAGGAGTCACCCACGTTCTCAGTCGGCTGAGTTACATCGCCGCCCTTGGTATGATGACCCGAATAAGCAGTCAGTTCGAAAAGACCAGAAAGGTGTCTGGCCCTCGTGCACTTCAACCATCACAGTGGGGTATGCTATGCACGTCAGATACACCTGAAGGTGAAGCCTGTGGTCTGGTGAAGAACTTGGCTTTGATGACCCACATTACTACCAACGTTGATGAAGAGCCTGTTAAACGGTGGATCTTTACACTAGATGCTGGTGTTGAACCTATCCGCAATTTCTCGGGTGCCGAGATGCACCGTGAAGGAAGCTACATTATTCATATCAACGGTACTCCGTTCGCATTAACTCGATACCCCAAACGATTTGCGCAAAAGTTTAGAACCATGCGAAGGAGAGGTTGGATCTCCCCTTTTGTTGGCATCAATATCAACACACACTTCAACGCCGTCCATATTGCCACTGATGAGGGCCGTATTTGTCGACCTTATATCATCGTTAAGAATGGTAAGCAGAAGCTCAAGCCTGAGCACTTGCGATTGCTTCAGATGGGCAAAGCGACATTCGACGACTTTCTGAACCGCGGAATCGTGGAGTATCTCGATGTCAATGAGGAGAACGATGCCCTCATCACCATTTATGAGGACCAAGTGACACAGAGTACCACTCACTTGGAAATCGAACCCTTTACAGTCCTGGGAGCTGTCGCAGGATTGATTCCCTTCCCCCACCACAACCAATCCCCTCGTAACACTTACCAATGTGCTATGGGTAAACAAGCCATTGGTGCAATTGCATACAACCAATTCAACCGCATTGATACTCTTCTGTACACACTCGTATACCCCCAACGGCCCATGGTTATTTCAAAGACCATTCAGCTTATCGGTTACGACAAGCTTCCTGCAGGACAAAACGCCACAGTGGTTGTTATGTCATACTCAGGATACGATATTGAAGATGCTCTGGTTCTGAACAAAGCATCAATCGACAGAGGATTTGGTCGTTGTCAGGTTTTCAGAAAGTACACGACAGAACTGCAGAAGTACCCCAACGGACGCAGAGAACGTATCGGAGACCCCGAGAATGAGGGCGATGGCAAGATTAAGCGCCGGATCGCTAAGCACGAGGCATTGGATGACGATGGTCTTGCAATTGTTGGTTATAAGGTAAACAGCGGCGAGGCCATGGTCAAGAAGGAGACACCACTTGACCAGACAAGCACTGGCATTGGGCTGGACCGTGGACCTGCCGAGTTCCGCGACTCATCGGTTTCATACCGAATCGCAGATCCCGCATACATTGATAAGGTCATGATCTCTCAGACAGAGAAGGATACTACAGTAATCAAGGTTCAGACGAGGCAAACTCGACGCCCCGAGTTGGGTGACAAGTTCTCGTCTCGTCACGGTCAGAAGGGTGTCGTTGGCATTATTGTTGAGCAAGAGGACCTGCCTTTCTCTGATAGTGGATTGAGCCCCGACATTATCATGAACCCCCACGGTTTCCCTTCTCGAATGACAGTCGGTAAGCTCCTTGAATGTCTAACGGGCAAGGCTTCTATCGTCCACGGCCGTCCTGACTATGGCTTTGGAGATGCTTTCCGTTCTCATCCGTTGGAAGAGATGAGTCAGGTGCTTGTAGACCATGGCTTCTCGTGGGAGGGCAAGGACTACTTCACATCGGGTATTACTGGAGAGCCACTGGAGGCGTACGTCTTCAACGGACCTATCTACTACCAGCGACTCAAGCACATGGTGCAAGACAAGATGCACTCTCGATCCAGAGGTCCCCGAGCTATCCTCACTCGTCAACCTACAGAGGGTCGTTCGCGAGATGGTGGTCTACGTCTGGGAGAAATGGAACGTGATTGTTTGATCGCCTATGGTGCTTCCCAGCTTCTGCTGGAGCGACTCATGATCAGCTCGGATGGTACTGAGATTGATATCTGCCAGCAGTGTGGTCTGTTCGGATACAAGGGTTACTGTCACACATGCAAGAGTACAAGGGAGGTTACAAAGATGACGATGCCGTATGCAGCGAAGCTGCTTGTACAGGAACTCATCAGTATGAACGTCGGCGTGCGACTCCAGATGGATGACGAGTTTCCTCACCCCAGATAATTAGGGTTACTTGATGGATATGCATAGATTGGAGTTTTGGAACTTGTATACCTTACATATAGCATAGTCATTTATGAGGCGCTTAGGTAGTCTAGAGGTATTGTTTTGGTTGCTTCATGTTTCTCTCTATGCGCATATCTACAGTGAGTCTTTTAGCCTGTCGTGACTTAGATAGTACAACTTTTGCCAGTGGCCGATACACAACTTTATATACGCTCTTACTTCCACTCTCGTTATTGCTTCTTGGCCTTTTGAATCTTGATTGATCTTAATCCTCCCATAGTAACTTCGAACTCGACCGCCCCGTCTAAGCCTTGACCCGTTGGAGGCGCGTGGGGCGCAAACACAACTTTCATCCACCTTCGCCATCCTCTGAGTGTGGGTGCTGCCAAGTCAGAGTCGTCCTCTGCTGTTACTGGCGCAGCTTGTCTTATACGGCCATAGACAGGACGCTTGAAGAGTGCAATACGACAAGCAATCTGCGTTGACCACACGAGGCCCAAGCTTGGGGTCTTGAGTGAGTAAGAAGCGTGGGGATCATCGCCCCATCCTGTGAACCAACGTTGTTGATGATCAAGCATTAGGGCGGGCGGAGGCGGAGGACCATCGGGATCTTGTAAGGCAAAGGGTAATGATGACGAGGGAGTGCCAGGAAGGTTTGTAGATGAAGGAGGAGGCATACTCCTTGAAGCGAGGGGACTCTCATAAGCGACGCCACTGCTTCTAGGAGGTGCATGTCGTGGTGTAGAGCTGGATGCGAACCGATCAGCGACCTGGTTGGCTACAACAACAGCGAGATTATGCCGTCGAGCTAGATCGCGAAGAAGGGCACCGAGACGAACGAGTTCAGCACTTCGAGCGGCCATATTAGAGCCGTGAGAGCCCTGACGTTCGAATTCAGCACGATAGTTGGCGGCCACTGAGTCGAGAATGATGAGGCCTATGTTGTGACGGGACAGAAGTACGGGGACTTGAAAGTCGAGGATGTGATCTTGTGTCTCTAGATCAGGTGTGACTGCGCTGCGAATAGCATCAAGTGAAGGGCGAGTTTCAGGATCATCGTATTGTTGTAGAATGGGGTTTGAGTTGAGCATCTGGGCAAGACGGCTTGTGGCGAGAGCTGCCTCAGTTGAGATGTAGAGTGCTTCACGGCCCAGGCCATGAGGCGGAGGAAGTTGGACAGCAAGACATAATGATAGAAGAGCTTGTGTCTTTCCAGCACCGCTCTCACCAGTGATTTCCGTTATCACACCGACAGGCACGCCCCCTCCCAATGCAGCATCCAGACCCTCGTCCAGAGTACTGATGACGGTGGGGTCTTCAGCCGGTTGAAGCAGCGGCTGCTGTGGACTGAGATCATCGGAGAGAGACGCTTGTATAGCAGCTATAAGACGCTTGAGATCGAGGATAGGGAGACGTGTCTGCTTTGCTATGTCTGCGGGATGAAGGGTGAGCAGATCTGTTGTTGTGAGAGCCTGTTGCTCAATTGTCGGTATCAGAGCGGCAAAAGGGCGAAGGGGAAAGGAGGGTAGGATTTGGAGGAGGTCTGTCATGAGGACGGCTGAGCAGACATGAATGTTTGTGAGTGAGCGAGACGAGAGTGAAGCGAAAAGTAAGGGTGTAAGTGAGTGTGAATAAGTGAATGAAGAAGTTGGCTTGGTGTTGACAGCAAAAGTGTATATCTCTTTCTTGTGGATTTAAAGTCAAACTCTATGGTAATAACAAGTCTTTACCCTCACAATCACTTTTGTTCTCTGTTTTGCTCCGGTCTAGTTGCTTTCTATCAAGAGAGTTGAGGTTGCACTTCACGCGTTAAGTGAATGAATGGGATAGACGCGGTTACATACATGACGCGCTTAATTGGATTGGCTGAACAAGCCACAATATCAACGCCACATCAAGGGTGAGAAGAGCCCACTGAAAAGACTGCAAATTTACGGAGTACTGGCCTGGGTTCAATTCAGTAGCTATACAGCACTACCTAGGCTCGAGAACGAAAAGTTTTGCTAAGCGTTCAGAAACTCCTTGAGCGAAAAGAATTTTCAACACATCCAGAGCAGTCAAATGTTTGGCATTTTGGTAGTAAAACAACCCTGAAAAATATCAGTGCTGTTATCCAACACTTCAGGCAACGTTTCATAAGCGTATTGGCTTGAATCACGGCACAGCACCAAATCACAAATCGGTAGGCAAAATTCGGGAAACCATATTCTTAATCTTGATCATGAAATTGGAATTGCTTTTGATTCCATTTTTTGTGCTACCAAACAAGGTTCCCGACTCCCCAGAGTCCAAGCATGCAGTGCCAAAACCAGACCCTCCCAAATCGCATGTACAACCGAACAGCCGCGTTGCGAATAACAAAGCCAGCTCCTCCCGAAGCAGGGGGCGAGCTGTTTATCGGTATCGCCACAGGGACAGGGTGTTGTGGCGCTTCCAGGTCTTTCTGCGGCCAGCCTGGGTCTTGTTGTAGCGGTGGCCCTTGTTGAGACCACGGGACTTCTTGCCGGTGGCGGTGAGACCACGAGACTCGCGGTGCTTGTGGACGGGGTTGACGATCCAGTTGATGCGGGGGTCGATGCGGATGGCCTTGTGCTGAGGGTCGACGAGGATGACCTCGTAGTACTTGTAGGTAGAGTCCTGGTTGATCCAGTAGGAGTTGAGGACTCGGAGGTTAGCGCATCGGCGGCCGACACGCTCCTCAGCGGTAGCCTTGAGAGATCGCTGGTACTTCAGCTGGTTGATACCCTGGTTGGTGGGCTTGCCTGTTGGGTCTGTGTTAGATACTGACTGACGTCCCCCTGTTCTCGAGAGAGTAAAAACCTACCATAGGTGGCACCCTTAGGAGCAGGGCGCTTGCGGCCACCACGGCGGACACGGACACGGTAGATAACATAGCCCTGCTTGGCCTTGTATCCGAGACGGCGAGCCTTGTCCAGACGGGAGGGGCGAGAGGCGCGGTGGATGACGTTCAATTGACGGAGCTATATTGATGCACTCTCAGCAAATGTTCAACGAGTGTATAGCACAGACGGCGGTTAATAAACAGCCTGCTCCGTCTCAAGTTCTCTCTCGGTGGTGTCCAAGCGTACACAGTTTCTGTGTTGATTCCGTTGTTGGGAATTTTCTTCCCAGTGCGGAGTATCCAAAACTCGCACGAAAATTTCGACCGCTTCGGACAATTCGAGAGAACAAGAGAGCGAGAAGAGGTTGAATCCGCCGTCCACATGGGGAATTGATGTTTGTGCTTGTGCATATTTTTGGTGGTTTAACGTACTTCCCAGCAGCGAACTCGGAGGAGGAAGGCAACGACATCCGACTGCTTCTTCTTCTGAAGCTCTTCGACGTACTTGAGGGCACCCATCTTGGCTGTTTATCGCAGAGACGACAGAGGTTAGCGAGGGAACAGGAATAAAGGGAAAATGAAGGCCTTGGAAGAGAAGAAGAAAGAAATTCTCGAGGAGGGGGGTTTTCACATACCGGCTTGGTCGAGGTCCTGGTGGTTAGTAGGAGGTCGAAGATTTTCAGAAAAGAGAAGGAACCACTGAAATCCAACTTTCCGTGGGAAAATTGTGGCCTGTGGGTTAAGCGATGAGCTAGCCCTCGACGTGGTCTGTGCACGGTCACGTGTCGCATCCTTTGGCTGTGACAGGGATAAGTCATCCGAGTTGGTAGCAGAATTGATGAAAGACATGGAATAGATGTCTTCGTAAAACTGTGTATCTGTAGTACTACTCAATTGGTTTATGTCTTTGGTGCTGCACTCCTAGAGACAACTAAGTCATTCATATGATCTCTTCCAAACCATCAAAACTGATCATTAATGCTGTTAAATCATCCTTCAGTTTTCAGCTGATAGCACTTTCAATACCCCAGTAAACGCCTTCAGATGACCCTGCGCAATCTTCCCCCATATATCATCAGGCATCTTTGGTAGAGCCTCCTCAATCAGATCCCATGCTACATGCTCAACTCCGCCGGCGCCCTCAGAAGGTTTGGGAGGAAGTTCATGTGAATCAGGCATAATGAAATGATTTATCATCTTCGAAGCTATCGCAAGACTGTGCTTGCTCACATCCTCCAGGTCATTGATATCTTGTTGCCAGCGCATCCAGTTCGGTGCTCGGATCTTGTTGTCTTGTTTGACTAGGCCTTCGTAGGTCCTAACATCATTCTGTAAATTGTCGAGTGCTTTGAGAATCATCTTTGGGTAATGTTGGGTGCTCTGTCTCTGGAGAGCCGAGGAAGAACTCGTCCAGGGAAGAACGCCTGCAAGATCTGGAAAGATATCTTTTCTCAAAATTTCGAGGCCAATTCGAGGACTGTTGGTATTAGAAAAATTAAATCGAACGAAGTGCCGGAAGCGACATACGCCAGTGTATGAGTCTCCTTATCGATGAACTTCACAAAGTCGGAACAGTGTTTCTTGATCCGGCTCTTGGCTTCAACAGAGAAAACCCTTCGCCTCTTGTTGAAAGAAGCGTTCGTTGCGCGCATAAAATTCTTGCCCCTGCGTTGGTTTGTTCCCCTCGCATCTGGTTTTCTGGGAGCCCTGGTTGTCTTCCTGGGAGGTGCATCTTCGGTACCGTTGCTCTCTCATGTACTTTTAGCTTCTGTAGGCGAACTCGTGATTGTATCTCCACTCACCCGTAGCAGATGCTCTTCTCTTCCGTGCTCGCGGGGGCATGATATGATGATGGAGTGCTTCTGTTGAGAGGTGACGAGGTCGAGGGGATGAATATTCAAGAGTCTTGGCTCATTCAGAGGCGTTTTCTCTGGCCACCTACGAGCCAAGGAAGCCAGGTACCGCCCGAGTGTGGGAAGCATCCGGGCACGCAGAGAGTGAGGAAGGTACAGGTTGTTGCAAGAGTGGGAAGGCGCTTTGGATACTTTCTCAACATGGCAGGAATCCGGATCTGCCTGAACCACCAATAAAAGTTATTCTCCAAGTATCATGGCACGAATCTCTAGCTTCACTTTATTTCACTTTCAGATAGCGTATAAGCAAACCCTGAGCTCGAATTTAATCTATCACATAATCTCATTTTCGAGCATTGAGCCAAACAACCCCTTAAAAACAAACTCATTTGCCCGCACGAATAAGCAAATGAGTAAATCAAGTCTTTGTCATACATGATTCCGGATATATCTCCCGAATGTGCCCCTTTTTTGACTGCGTATTAGTTACAGTGTTAGATGCGAAGTCCTTGGGTCTTTCTGTCTATAATCTCAGCCTGTAAAAGAAAAATCCATGCCGTCGAATGTTATCTTGTCTTCCCTCCCTACTCCCCGTTGTCGTGAAATCGGCCGTTGGATCATGGACCCTGAACAAAGCGTTGGCGATATGGAATTCGAAAAGCAGCTATTGAACAATCTCTTAGTACTCAAGGATCGAACGAGAATTGCCAATTAACGCCAAAGAAGATGTGAACGAAACGACGAATCATTATAAAGGAATGGAAAACGAAAAATGAAATCACACAATCACATAACCGCACCGCAAGCCCAACGAGGGCTGGTTCTGTATATGTCAGTCCGTCGTCAACTCAATCAACAAATGCCAGCAGTTTCTCCGTCATGAAACGAAGTCTGCTGTGCCTGCTTGAATGCAAACGAGTGTCCTGAGATGAACTTCTCATGGTCGCCAAACGTATGTGATAACACACATTAATGAGTGTTGAGAGACAAGCCCTGGAAAGATCCAACCCAGTCATTCTGAGGAGCCAGAGGTGAAGTTGCTTGAGAGTGAGGTGCCGGGCTGGGACCTGACTGTGGGTTGGGGAACCGCTGGCGCATCGTGGTGTATTCTCCAAGCTGGGGAACTCCAACGGGATAGCCCTCCATAGCGCTCGGCATAGCACCGGAACTAGCACCGTAGCCAACATTGCTACGAGGATTGCTATAAGGGTTGGCGAACTGCCCGTAAGGGTAGTTCGAAGGAGGGTACCCAGAAGGCTGCGCGAGGCGGCCCTCATTGCCAAATGGTTGGTTGAACGTTGGAGGAGGGCGGAATCCGCGGCCATCTCTGGCTCCACCGGGAAAAGCAGAGGTTTGGTGAGGCTCTTGGATCTGCTGGTTCTGGCGTCTGTCATTACCACCCGCACCACGGTTTGCGTTCACTGCTCCAGGACCAATGCCACTAGGAGCCTGAATGCCAAGAGTTGGGCTAGCGAATGAGGCTGGGTTGATAGCAGACATCCAGATTCGAGTCTTGTAGATCTTGAACAAGTCGGTGACGAGAGAGTTGAAGTTGATGTACGAATCGGCAAAGTAATAGAAGGTCAACTTCTTCCAATCCCTAGCAGAGAGGTTAGTCATCTTATTCTGTTGTTAAGTGGCAAATATACTCACATCTGAAACTCGGCGTCCAGAATCTCCATATTGAGAGCATGCTCCTTGACCTTTTGCATACAAACACGCTTCGCCTTCGCCTCTTGGCCTTCCTTGTCCCGCAGGGCTTGGATCTCGTGGTTCTGGGCAAGACGTTTGATGAGCTTGGGTCGAAGCTCGCCAGCATTGGGCTCCTGCGCATGGTGCTGGCTTGGAGGACCCATGCCTCCAACCGCGCTTCCCTGAAGACCGGTAGAGGAGGCGAGAAGACCTGCGCTAGAACCCTCCTGCGCGACGGCAGCATTTTGTGAGTACATCATCAGCCACTTGTACTGCTCTTCAGCATAGTGCTCTTTGAGTTCTTTAGCAGCCTGCCATTCAACGTTATCCTTAGCAACGGTTCCAAGGTCAGTGCCGCGATCAGCCTCGACTATCACCAGATCACCTGGCTTGACATTAAGACCAGTGCCCTCTTGAATGTAGAACACGTCAGCTCGAGCGCACTTGAACAACACAATGTGAAGAAGCTGGTTGTGACGAGGCTGAGCAATACTGTAAACGCTACGATGAGGAGATGGTGCGCGGTTCCCATACGCAGTGGGCAATCCGTAAGGAGATCCGTATTGATTGGCAAACCCAGGTTGGTAGGCATTTCCGATGTTGGCACCTCCGCCAACGCCAAAGTATTGACTTGCTGTTTGCGTCCGTTAACAAATGATCAAACAAACAACGTGAATTTTGAGGCCAACTTACCATGAGAAGAAGCACTAAAGGCGGCAGGGTCGGGGTACCCGGGGGGGTATTCCTGGGATTGCTGCATATCGAGTGCAGAAGGCTCTAGTGCGGCCGCGTCGGGAATAGAGCTGATAGAACCTTGGCGAGTAGGCATGTTGGCAAAGGAGTGTCGCCGGCTTTGAGAAATATCAGAAGGATTAAATCCAAGGGAGCTTGACCAGAGCGCTTTCTTGAGGTTGGCGTTTTCAGGTTTGCGATTGTTCTCAAACGGAGAGCGTAATGACCCCGCTCCGTACTCGCTCATGCGCCTGCTCAGCGCCCGTTTGGCCAGCATATCGCCAGATTCGTTGGCTTCATCAAGCTCATCAATAGCATAATCAGATTCTTCAGGAACTGTGTCTCGTATCGGGTAGCCGTTTGCAGGATAGGAGGAGCCAGTAACTGCGCGGGGTCGAATTCGGGCATTGTTATACTGTGTTTGCTGCTGCTGCTGTTGTTGGCGCAGCATAGCATTTTCGCGAGCTAGCATTTCAATTGTTTTCGCATCCGATTGATGAAATGAACCTTGCATCGACTCGCTTGGGCTTTCATCGTCGTCGTCCTCGACTTCCTTGACTTTTCCAAGCATCGAGCCGTCGTTGGCCATTTCGCTTAGCATGCTAGGTCGAGAAGGTCGATGTTGAAGCGCGGGATAGCGAGCGCGACCCATGATGGCAGACGAGCTCATCGAAGGCGGGGCGGCCGTTGACTCAGGATCCAGCTGCCCAACAGAGTACGATTGAGACCGGTATGTTTTGGGAGTGGGATGAAGCGGAATAGCGAAAGGTATTTGCGAGTTAGGCGCGGGATCGCGCGAGACCGGAGACGTCTGCATGTCCGAGCCAAAGAAAGAGTTACCACCGCCCGGAGGCATGGTCGATGTGGGAGAAGGCAAAACTTCGCTGAGCCTCGATGGAGGATCTTTGCGTTCATTGTTCCAGATAGCCGTACCCCATGAAAAGCCAGGTGCGCCAGATCCACGACCCATCACAGATGAAGCTGAGTGAGACCCCCACGCTCCACCAGCCTCTCCAGAGGGGGTGCTGGGATGAGAAGTAGTTGGAGACATCGAGTTACTAGCGATAGATCCCCTACGGGGACGGCCCAGTGTTTGAGAAGTCTCGTTCAACCACGAAGGTCGTCGGACAGGTCTAGGAGGTTGCGACGCAGAATGTGATGCTGCTGTTCCGGACTCGTATCGGTGCTCAACTTCGTCGTCTGAACTAGCGAGAGCTTCTGAATCTGGTGTAGATGTCCTCGCGTGTAGCTTCTCGAGGAGCAGTGACTGATTGTTACCCGGGGCTGTAGGATGAGATCCCTGGCCTAGTCTGGAAGACGGGCCTGTCTTGAGCGGACCAGAACTCATCATCCAGGAAAGACACTACTTGGCTTCTTTCAATCTAAAATCTACAAGACTGCTGATTGATAATGTCCTGCGAATGGGGGATTTGATGTTATATCTGTGATACGTGAAACGGCTAGCACAAGCTGTCGTGTTACGTGATAACGGATAATAAACAGAGTTGGGGGGTAAAATAAAAAGTAGGCTGTAAAGATCTTTTAAGAATGAATAGAATCGAAACTGTAAATGGCTAGTTAGCTGACTGGTCTCATGATGCACAATGAATGATATTATTTGTGAAGAGAAACTTTATTCGCCCCACGACACCTCAGCCATATTGGGGAATGTAACAAGAGTCAGGGCGAACAAGTAGATGAATGAGGACTCGATAAATAAAGCAGAAGACTCTTCAAAGCATCCAGATTCGCTGCAAATGGACTTACCAGAGATGGGATCTCAAGGATATCTAAAGACTATGTCGTCACACGTGCCAAATTCTAAGTCGTAAAAACAGACGGAACGTAAGAAAAAGAACGCTGATGCTGTAATCAGTGTCGAAAGATGTGGCTCTGAGAAGTGGCAACTCTGATCTTATCGCAAATGTTAAATCGCGATATCAGAAGTCGTTACGGCGTGAGCCAGTGGTTGATTAGTGTTGAGTGAATACGACAGAATATCTAAACACCAGCGCGTCTAACCCAAGGCGCAAATAGAAGATTCAGGTTGTCGGATAAGAGGAAAGGAGACTGGGGACCCTGTCATAGAAGGACCTTGTTGAGAGGGACTGATTTGGGCAGACGAAGATGTCCAGTGCTGTAGCGACGAAGGAGACTCAATCGTGGCCCATTGTCAGTGAAAGGCTCGAAAGCAGGCGCGAAATCCGACACCAAGAGATTGACGCGGGGTTGCTGCTACACTTGGAGCGGCAACAAGGCGGGAGAGACGAGCGGCGGTGGCAAATAGTCAGTGATCAGAAAACCTGTCTCCGAAAATTCGAGTATCAATCTGCAAAGACCACGGGAGCGTCAACGACGATGTGGTGAACAGGCAGGCGAAAAGTGGTTGATCGCGAATAACGTCGTCGGGCACACGGTGTGCAAGTCGAATGAGGAGGACGGAGAGAGTTTGCGAAATGCAGTCGGAAGGCGGGGGAGCACAGCGGCGCGCTGCAGAAAGTGATGATATTGACAAAGAAATGCAAGCAGAGGGAAAGCTTGGCAGAAGGAAGTATGTCGCGTGTC